AGGGGCCGAGCGGGACCCGCCGCGCTGGGCAGAGGGGCCGAGGGCCTTGGGCGCGGATGCCTCCTGCTACGTGCCTGGGAATAGATCTGTGATCCGTTTGGTTCAGTCGTTCTGCCGAACGTCTTGGTTATTTAGCAGGTAGGGGCAGTGTTTGGTCATAAATCTAGTTAAAATACCAGCGCGTTTTACCTGACAAAAATCAGCTCTCATGCCACGGTGGAAGCACCTGTTTTCTTTCCAGTGAGGAGAGCATCCCCATGGAAGTCATGCTTTCGGTGTGTTTTTAAAACCAAGAGCAGTGGGATTTTTAAAAACTATAAATTGCTTCCTGTTAGTGCTGTGATGTGTTCTTCATAATAGTTCCACAAATTAGTTCCTTTCTTGGTAGATTTTTCTGTGGAAGATAGCTTTATGTATTAAAAGTCGCATTCGGCGTTTTGTGTTAATAGGCATTTTTGAAAAATGTAATACTCCTTTTTCTTTCAACTTACAGGTTAATAATTGTGGCCTTCAGCTGGTTATCCACACCTCCTCAATACCAGATAAAAGCAAACCAGTAATTATCTCCTTTTCATTAATAGTTAATTAGTTAATGCAGGTGTATGGTGCAGCTAAATTTGTATGGTTTCTGACAGGAATTGCCTTTTCGGAAGTAATATGTTTAATAATATCTGATGCATATGAGAATCTGTTGGCAATTTATCTCATCCTATTAATGAGGCATGTAGTAAAACTGTGAGGATGTACTATAGCCTGGTATAAACTTTATGTGTGTATGATTGCTTACACTTCCATCTGTACTTCTTCAGTGGCTGGGGTTTTTGTTTTTTCCTTATTTAGTCAACTGCAGATGAATGTGCTGGTAAAGTGTATTTTCACTTTGGTTTCCAAAAGTGAAATTTTAGTCATAGTATTGAATAGAATGAATAGGGGTTTTTTAATTGAAGTAATTATTTAATTTCTTTAAAGCACTTGCAGAGTTTCCTGAAAACTGTAGTTGTTACTAAGGTTGTGTTTCTGTAAAAATGTTATTTGCATTTGAAAACTTTAACATTTGTCTTACATATTGTGTTACAGTTTGAATTCAGAATCAACAAAGAACAGTCATCTTTCCACAATAGGCTTCTGCAGCATGATCTGGAAAAGAACTATTCAGGAAGGCAAGGTGATAATCACTAGGATTTGGATTGTTTCTTTTGTATCTCTTTTATTAATAGAACAGTAAAGTAGGGCAGTATTATGGTTGGCACGTGTAAGAGTGACAGCTTTTTCCTAACTGGCTACAGTAATTCAGTGTAATTACTGCTGCATCACAACCTGAACCTGCGATCCTTCTACTGCCTAGCACAGGTGGATTTTGCCATCACTTTTTGCCCCTTGTTCCATCCATGGAAGAACATCCTTTCTTATACCTACAAACCCACAGTCTATCAAGTGCTCTACTATGCGCCATGCCTCAGACGAAATGCAATTTTCTGTGGTAACCTTATATTGGATGTTTAACACTTCAATGTATTTAGACAAAATTAATTTCTACTTCAGAACCCTGATATGGAGAGTTTTCATATTGCACTTGTGTGCTTTTGCCTCTGAAAAACAAGATACGTGGTGATAACCACTGCTAACTATGGAGAAGCCTTGAAACACATTTCTTGCCACACTTCTTGCTGCTGGTTGCCTGTCATATAAAAACAGTTGATTGGTTAGGATAGGAGATGAGTTTCATTATTATGGCAGTTCTTTACCTATTTTGACAAAAAAATAAAAGGTCCACAGCTGTTCAGAATAGGTTGATTTTTAGGGATATTGTGCGATTTATTATAGGGTAAATTCTTGTTTTGTTCCCCCCACAGGAGACCAAAGAGTATTGAGTCCTTTGGTGCGTAATAAGCAGATATATCTTCCAGTACCATCCAGTCTGACGGAACTTTCTGGTTTGGAGTTGAAGCAGAACACAGGTTCTTTATCAGGATTTGGCGACTCTTCTATTCACACACCTACAAAGTCCAGGTCCCGACAAAGCAGCCACAATATTAGTTCACATGCTTCAGGTAACAGGGAAATACCTGACTGAACAGCAAGTGGTGCCAACTGTTCCCTTTGGGTATTAAGGGAGTTCAATAGATCATTGTCAGGAAGCCACTGCATTTCCAAAATATAATATAGGCATTTAAATATAGGCTTTTTATATACCTTTCTTCAACAAAATGGCAGTAATAGGGATCTTTTACATGTCCTTAGGAGGATGATATTAAACCAAAAAAAGTCACCGTACTGTCATGATGGCATGGGTCAGAACAATTTTTAAGTTTCTGGTCTTACATTTGTTGGCTTAAAAGACTGAGACACAACTAATTTAATATTTCGCAACAATGTTAATTGAAATTTTTTTGGTCTGAATGTGGGTTTTTTTTTTTTTCCACTTCACTTTGAAGGATACATAGAGAATGTTGGTTGCTACACTGAGGTAGAGTATCTAGTGATAGAGTAGCACTGAAAAGATTCACACACACAAGTTATTTTACTTACCTAGGTGTCTCTTCTGATGGCATAGTTTAGACAACAGTGGACTCACTCTCTATAGTAGTAAAGCAATTAATCTTTGTTTATTGGAGCATTAATAGTTTTCCCATTAATGTATTTGATTTATTTGAAGGAAGGAAAAAAAATAAGGGCAAACACATAGAAGTTGAACCTATATTCTTGTAGCAGTAGGCATGCACAGTGATCTATTTTTGACCCATATTTTTCAGTGGATTGTTTTCCAGATAAGTCAAAGCCTGCAGAACACATTTGTTGATTTATTTAGCAGGTATTTTTAGTCATCCTCCCTCTTCCCCCTTATGTTAATAAAATGAGTAAAAATGAATAGCTCTGTAAATATATTTTAAAGGGCTGCCTGTTTCTTTCTTGATAATGGAGTGAAATATAATACCAGTGCTTACTAGGTATTGCATGCACTTACCTTTAAAAGGCTTTGTGTTTGTGGTTTCTGTGGGACTGTTAGAATGTTTTGGAGCCCTAGTTTCTAGTTCTGATAACATACAATCTGTGTCTTTAAAATTCATCTGAAGTTAGATAACATCTTCTTTAAGTTCAGATACTGAAATTGGGAAACAATTATACAACCTTGCCTTAAAACATCATTGGGTAATTCTATCAAAACCAGAGTATCTGCAAGATATCTGCTTATAACCAATTGCTGTTAAAAATCTCTCAGAAACAAAACAAGTGGAGGTACTTTGGAAAGAGGATGTAGAGGGTTATGGCTGTAAACAAAAAATTGCCAAGAAAGAAAACTGAAGTATTGAATGGAGGCAAAATGCACTTTCATGTACTGTGAAATTCTTAACTTCTGAAAAGAGAGAAAATTCTGCTTTTATGATCTGTAGTAAATTAAATGCTTTTACAAGTAGTTGCTACATTCTCTGTATGATTTTTTGATAGATAACACAAGCTTTGGGAGCAGTTCATTAACAACATTTCCTGTATTGCAACGTACTGCTGAAGAAAAGATACTGAACTCTGACAGACTTACCCTGGAAAGGTGAGAAGGCTATGGAGTGTGCACACCAGAGCTTGCAACTCCTGTGTGTGACGGCCCAAAGTGATGAGCATCCCGGGAATGTCAGTGGGCAGTGGTATGAGTGGTGGGTTTGGTTGGGTTTTGTGTATGTGGTTTTGAGAGAACAGCTGCCACATAGAGGGGTTCTGTATGAGCATTCTTGTGAGGAATTTATCCGTACAGCAGTCATCCAAGGCACTTAGGGCTTTTCCTTGTAAACTAAGGACCTAGCTTAAGATTTGGATGCAAGGCCATGCACATAATCTATAGAAAGAGTCTGTGTCTCCATTAGTTCTCATCTGATGCGTTAACTGTAGAATGGCCTTTTTTTTTAACTTCCCTAAGCAGGACACAAAAGTGAAGTTTTATCTGAAAGACATTTAATTGCAACTGTTTGTTTTTTCTTGTGGGTGTTCATGTGGTCCAAAAAGTTTTGCCAGGTCAGTAGGATTCCTGGAATAATCCTAAAATAACAGTAGCCATTTTCTGCAGTGTATCATATATATTTTTACTTTCCATGTAAACACTTATTTCATGTGTTAATATTTCAAATGTAAAGTTTCATATACCAAAGAAAAATTGCATGGCCATAGAACACTTAGAATTTTGATATAAACAGTCTGCTTATGTGGTATCTGGTGAAACAACTTAAGAAATTGGTAGGCTGTGTCTGAGACTTTAATGTGGTCACAACACAACTTCCATGTAGTTTCCGTGTAACAAGCAAATCTCTGATTAAGAGGACAGACTTTCAGTGAATTTTGGAATAGTTACTGCTATATTTTCATGCTGATTTTTTTTTTTAATAGTAAGGAGTTACTGCTTTGTTTACAGAGCTTAATTAACAAAGCTAATTACCTTAATCAATATAATATACTTTCCTCAGCTTAGTCAGAGTGGGTGAGTAGAAGGTGGGTTACTAATTTGTTACTTATATTTGTATACTTAGTTGTTTTGTTTCTTTTTACTTCCAGGCAAAAGCTGACAGTGTGCCCAGTTATTGATGGGGAAGATCACCTTCGCCTTTTGAATTTCCAGCATAACTTTATAACCCGGATCCAAAATATTTCGAATCTGCAGCATCTTGTTTTCTTAGATTTATACGATAATCAGATAGAGGAAATAAGCGGGCTTTCAACTCTGAGGTCCCTAAGAGTCCTTCTGTTGGGAAAGAACAGGTAAAAATAATAAAACTAACTTTAAGCACCCCACTTCTTTATGGTGTAACAGCTGTGACCTGTTACTCTGTCTGACTTGACTGTTGTCTCTGTTACTCACGGAGTTTTCAGATTGTCGTGTTGGCTGTGAGACCAGTGAGCTGGTCCCTAACAATAGTTACGTGTTAGGGATCCCACTGAGGAAGCACGTGGGTTTTGCTCATAATGTTTTTCGGAAAGTTAATTTCTTAGGTAAATTTTAGCAATAGTCCTGAAGTGTGTTATGTGTTTCCATTTAATATTGTGTTCTGATTGGCTCTTAGATTTGTGTGAGTTATGGAGTATCTTTTTCATGTCACTTAAAGTATTCATTGATTCTTTATAACCTCTACAAAGTATTTCTATTTCTGCCTCATGTATTATCTGGGAAAAAATAATCAGACAGCTGTATCATGGATTTTATTGCTTATTTATTGATTCTATTCTGTTGGGAGATACAACTTGCTAGTTGTATTACTTTGTAAAAATACACTTCAAATCCTGTACCCTTTTAATTCTAATAATGTAACAGAAATATCTGTGGAATTGCTCACACGTGGAAAGATTGTGCTCTCCTTTTGTTCAGTTTCCTTATTTTTTTTATATTCAGGAAAGGAAAAATGTGCAGATTACAAAGAATGCATCTCATAAATCAGCCTGTATTCAAAACTGACAACTTTAAATAGTGCAGTATGTTACTAGAGCTTATAGCTTTTATATTAAAAATCTCACCTGTAGAAATTAATTTTGTTTATAGCAACATATTCGGACATGGGAACAATAACTTGAAGGTGCTTTAAGGAATTATTTTCCAAATCATAACTACATTGAATGCTGTAGGGTTTGTTTATGTAATAGTGTGGTTTGGAGGTAGTTAGGACAAGACATGCTCATAAAGGATCCCAAGTCAGATATAGCTGCTAGCAACTTGTTTTCAGCTTGATCTGTATGTGATCTTTGATTATTCTTGAAGCAAGTGTGTAACATGTGATGTTTACCATCAGCCAGTAGATGATGCTGTTGAGTATAGAATAACCTAGGTTTGGAGTGTGAGAAGGTAGGTCAGGACGAAGTTGTACAGGAGGTGAAGTACTGCTAAATCTAGAGATCTATATTGTCTAGAAAGGGCCAGTGGCTCTTTAGGGTTTTTTTTAATTTGCTGTTCTCCTAACAAGTTCTCAAAAGCCTGTGTCACTATACTATTTCTTTCAACTGTTATTTGCCAGTAATAATGTGGGGTTTTTATTATTTAGGCACTTGGATAGGTTGGTTGTTGACTTTGTTTTCTAGTAGTGCAAGTATTCTTCCCCTTTTTCCTCTTCCTAGAAGAGCCATGTACATACTGCTGCTATTGCGTTGTCCGTCAGAAAGGAAGGTGACAGTCTAGGACATAGTTTTTATAACATAGCCATTTGTTCTTGCCTACCAAGAGTAACAGAAAAAACCCAAGTCCTGAACAATGTAAAAAAAAAAAAAATTATCTTTCATTTTCCAGCTAATATATCTAATGTGAAAAATGATTTTTGTCATAACTGAAATCTTTCAGAATAAAGAAGATCTCAAATCTGGAGAACCTAAAACATCTTGATGTTTTAGATCTTCATGGAAATCAGGTACAGTACAATAACTTGATTATTTACATTTCCTGTGTAGACATCATGTGTTTCCTGGGTATTTTACCAAACCATTGCTTTTTGAAGGGAACTGGTAGCAAATGTTGCCCCTCTTGAGGTCACAGAAATCAGTAAATCAATAAAAGGTGGTATTGTGTTATTTCGAACCTTGATATCTACTCTCTTGTATTTTCAGCATTGTACTTTCAGAAAGTTCATCATTAAAATGCTGAGTCAACTAAATATAATAGCACTCACGTCTACAGAGCAGTAATCTAGCATAAGTAGTTGTGGTGGAGTGACACAGCCTTAAATTCACAGGAGAATTTAAGGTCCTACTGATTGTTGTGTCTACTATTGGCGATCTTACTAAATGAGATCCCTTACATATCTGTAGAAGTCTTTAAATTTGTAAGGGAAAAGGCAGGATGGGTCCAAGCTCTTGATTGACTCGTGCTTCTGAATGGACTTAAGTCACTTCATGTCTCTTCAGTTTCCTCACTTTCAGACAAAGCAGTCGTTTCAAGTGGTGCATGACTTTTAGCTGTAGTACATGTAAGAGGGAGACTGTAGTTTAATGTGTGTGACAGAAGCAGCAAGGCGTATTACGAGAGCGCTGGATATAATAAAAAGCTATTTTCTAGAAAACCCAACTGTCTGGGGTATCATCTGTATACTGTTGCCAGGAATATTTTCAGGATTTTCTTAATGTGATATTCCTGTGCCACAGTGCAAAATTCATGTTGCTAAAGGCACTGCTCAGATGTGCCCACTTGGCTTTGCATTTGCTTTTTTGATTGTAGTAATTTAAAAACTTACCTTTGTGTTTTTGAAGAAAATGTTATCTTATTACAAAACCTGTCGTTGTAGTTAAGTTACTAGGAGGGGTTTTGGTACTCTGCAGGAAGAAACTGTAGATTCTTTCAAGAAAGCTATTGATAAGCCAAAGCTTGGATGGAATTTTTGCCTGGATGCTGTCTGCTCAGTAAACGCGTTGTTGCATGGACTGTAGTTGGCCTAAAACAGGGGTGAGCCGTAAATGAGTGTATGTCAGATGCTATGGAACCAGACAGCTTCACCTCAGTCCCTGGGAAAGTGATGGACCAAAGGATGTCGGGGCTCTGGTGGAGTCTCTGCTGTAAAGGGGAGACTGTCTGGTGAGCAGTCCTCATCAGTGCAGAGGACTAGCTAACTGGGAGATGAGTTAACTTGCATTCAGTGCTTCTGGTGGTACTAGCTTTCCCCTGTAGTCAGACAGACCATTCCAGGAGGTGATTTAACATGCCTGTAGCCTCTTCAGTAGGCAAGAAGAGTCATATATGTGAAATGGTACCATTTAAATGGTATTGCCTGGCAACCATAATATTATTACTACAATATACTCTGGAATATAAATTGATGCAGTAGTATTACTGCTTCTAACTGAGTTGTGATACGAAACAGAGTTTTTCCATAGTCTTTATTTTCATGATTTGGCTTCTCTGATGTCATTAAATAAAACCCATAAAATTCAATGTAGCAAGATATAGTAAAATCCAGTAAATCCTCCTGGTGCCTTTGGCAAGTCATTTTACCAGACTGACTCTTCAGTGAATGGGATATTCCACAGCTCTTTCTGAGGACACTGAAGGTGCTCACATATCTGGCAAGAAAAACATATTACTCTTTTAACTACCGTTTTTTTCCCTTTGGTGTTCTGTATACGTTATAGGACGTATGTACAGTGAAATACTAAAATATCTTATGTGTAATATCTGTGAAATAATATCTGCCCAAATAGTATTCATTCCTACTTCAGTAGTTTATATGGGAATATTCTAGGGTCCTTGCACTGATTTTAATTTTTTTGGTGTTCAGAGCTACTGCTAACAATGTGCAGTATCTCTCATGTCACCTCTGATCCCAGAAGATTATTTAACAATTAAATCTAGTAGATAAATTATAGTAAAGGTGTTAAAATGCATTAGACTAACAAAAAATGTTAACTCTCACTGTATGCAGTACTTGTAAATAAGAAATCTCGCAGTCAGTCAGTAGATGCAGAATATAAATACTCAGATAGGATATGGCCAGAGTATCAATGTTGTTAATCTTATTTTTCAAAAATTATGTTAGAGCCTAGCTAGGAATTGTAGGCTTTTGTTAACGTTCATGGTGTAGTAGCAGTTAAGAAGAAAGCTAGATTCCTGTTTTAGTCTTCGTCCCTCCTTCCCTCTCTCTTGGGGTGTAAATCGATCCCATAGATGGAATGCAGATTGTGAAACTACTGAGACTGGAATGTTTCCAAGAGGTTGGAGGTGAGGAAAAACAGAAGGAGGAAAAACTCATTTTTGTTCACTTTTGGGAAAATATTTTGACTTATTTGGGTCCTGGGTTTTTTTTGGGATAATATGATTTGGTCTAAACCTTGAGACTTCTCCTGCCCAAGTCAGAAATGTACCAGGAACTGGATGTGCTCTAAACATTGAGGTAGAGTATTCCACAGTGCTTAATGATAGATCTTACATGATTTCTTTCTTTTCCAAATCAAGCTTTTAAAAGCATTACTAATTAAAGAAAATTCCTTCATATAATAAATATCCAAAAGAAGGTTAAAAAACCCCAACCCCAAACCAATGTAATCCCTTGCTCACTCAGTGCCTACACTTCACAAAAAAGACAAAATATGAACTCCCTTGTCATAGTACTACTCTTTGCCTGCTTTCATAGTGATTTAGTAAGGCTCTTGATTTTAATATTGCCCAGTACAAATCTGTAAAAAAATATAACATCTTAATAACATGTAATTAAATTTTGATGTAGAGACTCTGTGGCTATTAACATGCCAATATGGACATATAATGTCAAATCATTCAGACGCTCTGCACATGACTGTGTGTGTGGTACATTAAATGCACTACAACTTATATTTAATTTTGAGCTAAACATTTAATTTCTAATTAGTGGGCTTCCAAGCACCCTGAATAGTTTATGTTGAGAATGCTGGTTGGTGGCTTGATCCTTGCTGTCAAGGTAAATAGTATAAATGATTTATGTTCCATGTAAATTTCCTCAATACCTTTTTATTTTAGGTAGGGTTAAAATGGACTTTTGTCTTTTAGTGAACTGATGTGTTACAGTTGAGTCAGGTTGAACTGGAATTTCACACTAACTTTATTTAGAATTAAATTTGTTCTATAATGTGTAAATATTTAGAAGGTCATTAGAGTTATCTTCTGTTGTCTGTTTAACTCTGTAAAGCATTTTCCTTGCCAAAAGTCTGAGGATACAAGTAAAAGAAAAAAAAAAGGCAACTTGATTTTTCACACATGGACTTCTCAATCTTGTGAGTGCGGGTTAAAAGATGCAACTTCTGTGCAGTTTGATTATTGATGAGTGATTTATGTGGTGCATAACTATCTCTTCTGAAATAAAAATCTATTTTTAGCTAAATATTCAAAAATAAAAACAAACAAGGAAGTAGAGTAGGGGTTTTGTTAAGTGTTCACAAGTAAGTTCTTTCTTACGTATTTGAAAAAGCAACCGAAATGGTTAAGAATAATCCTTTATTTATAATTAATAGAAAACAGTCAGATATATATATCTTTTTTTAGTAAAACAAATAATATCTGAGTCATCTAAAAAGAGGTGATATCTGCTCGTTATCAAATCGGCACCTGATAGTACATACTAAAAGGTGGTGTACCTTCAGATATGCCTGCACAACTGAGACAAAAAATCTGGTAGAGCTGAGCTTAAAACTCAGCGGAGTGATGAAGAGTATCTCTCTGCATTGGCGCTGAAGTCTTTCTCTTGCCGTTGCCGTAAAATGCCAGGATCCGTGTTCTGCCTTGCGGCACGCTATAATTCTAGCGAAGCAGGCATCTGCAGAGGTCTGTGCTCTTCGTGCCAACCATCTGCTCTTGGCTTTGCTTTTACAGGTCTTTCAGTCTAAGCATATTGTTCTCCAAAGTGATATTTTCTGTTCCCTTTGCTGTAACATTTTTGTGTGCTGATAATTTCTTATTTTCTGCATATAATACACAAATGGAAGAGGCATAGTAGTTTAATTAGCAGTTGAATCAAAAACCTGCTTTAAGATTGTTTTTGCCATTTACTTTTGTATGCTTTTTAATGGAAAAATTGCTGAAATGCTTTTTATAGCAGCCTATTCAAGTCATATGTCACAGACTTATAAATATATACATACATGTGTAGGTACATGTGTGTATGTATGAAAAATACCAAGGTTTGTTCTCCAACTGTTAAGTAACAGCTACCTTACCTCTTCTCCCAGGAGCTGCTAGACACTTTCTGGAAATTGGCACGGCCAGATTTGTACTGGTCTGAGGCATCAGAAAGTTCATTATTGCTGGGAAGGTGTGCGACACCCGTTGTGATCTTGCTTGCCTGCATCTACCTGAGGTTGGCAGCTTTGAGCAGGAATATCACATGGGCATTGGGGGGAGCTTACAGTGCTCCAGCAGATGATCGTTCTGATGGGAAGGGAATCCATATTGCGTGGTGCACAGCCACACGTGGCCCAAGGCTGAAGTCTTTTTCTGCAGAAAACCTGCTGCCGCCCTCCTGCCGTATAGCATGGGTTTCAGTAAGACTGATAGGAATATCCCCCTGCGCAGTTGGCAGGACCTTGTCTGCTCCATGATGCGTTGCTGTATGCCGGTCCTGCATAAACGTGTGGATTAGATGCTGGAGGACAGATCCCAGACTGTTATGAGAAGTAAATATCTGGATAGAGATCCTTGAGTGGATCACTCTGAGAAATATAAGTAGCAGAAAATGAACCCAGATTGTGTCAGCAGAGAAAAAATTGCCTTTTTAAAACATGGTTGCATTTCTAGAAGTGAGAAATAAAATTAAGGAACAGTAGCTTTTTTACTGAATTGATTAAAAAAAATTTTGGGGTCAATATCACCTGAATCTTTAAGGTATTAAATATAATAACAAACCTTGGGCAGCTGCCTGTTTATTGTAGTTTAGTCGCTTTGTTTGATCCCTCCACTTTCTAATCACAGGGAGCCATGAGTTGCTCAAGAAGTGCTGGGGACTGTCAAGCAAATGTGCTGCGTATCTAAACTAAGGATGCTGCTGCTTTCTTTTCTAATTTTTGAGTATGTCTTACTGATTCCAGCAATTACCTGCTTGTAAAACTTCCTGACAAATTCCAATTTTGGAATAATTGCTTACTTCTCCAGTGGGCTATGGCTGCTCCTTGTCCCTGAGTCACAGCAGGTTCCTGTCATCATGACCTGCTGGAAAGTCTCCGTGGAGCTCCTGCGCACAGTGCTGTGAACGCTGCTGCTGGCTTTTTCAGAGGCATGAAGGGAAGTTGGTGCAGAGTTCTGTGACGGGAGGGAGATAGGATGCTACATGTTCTTGTAGCATAGGAACCAGGAGATTTGGATATGTGTTTGAGTGCCTTTGCAGAGAAGTTAAGGATCGACTGCATGGAACTCCCCTATTTTGGTGTACTGTGACATCATTAAGGTTATCTTAGTTTTACAGTGTCTTTGAGGTTAGAATAACCAAATTTCTGATGGTAAGGAAGGAGGTGTTGATTGATGTTACTGCAGTATAACTAGCAAGATGATAGTAAAGTGAATACTAGTACTTAATCTTTAACAGACTGTAACTGGTTTTCAGCAATTTCTGACACGATTATCATGGTTTAGAAAAATACCCAAGGAGTACACCGTTGTATTAGGCTGATTGTTCATGTTTTAAAAAATGTACGTGCCACTTGTATCTATTGTATATCTATATAAAACACAGTATGCATGTTTATAATTACACCTCTTTTCACAGATTACTAAAATTGAAAACATCAGTCATTTGAGTGAACTGAGAGTGTTAAACCTTGCCAGAAACCTACTAACAATTGTAGAAAACCTGAACGGACTGGATTCACTCGCAGAGCTCAACCTGCGTCATAACCAAGTCTCTGCTATAGTAAGGAACAAAACTCGTGTCTTTCTATCTTCTTTTGAGTTTCTTTTTTCTTTTTTCTTTATTTTTAACAAAATGTACTACTGCTCTAACTTGTTTAAACCATATCAGCATGCACTTTCAGATTTGTGAATTTTGTGTTTTTCCGTATTGTGTTGCTTATCCTGTTCTCCTGCAATAGTTACAACCTAAACAAACAGCAATTCTGTTTGGTGTTACTTTGTTTAAAGGTGGTGACTTTCAGTGATTCAAATCTTGATAGCTCGTGGTGGTTCTCCAGGGGGGACATGATAAAAGATTCTGAAGCAACTTTGTGGTTCTATCATACAAAATTTAGAATTTTCTTCCCTACAAGCTTGCTTCCTAGAAACATAACCCTCTCAATTTCTGTCGCTTAACTAAGCAGCAAAACCATCTTAAATTTCAACTCTTTATGAATATTTGAGGCAAATGCAGAGAAAATAGGTATTGATATTAAAAGTGAATTTCTCAATTGAAGCTTTAACTTAGCAGTGTAAGTCTTTTTTGTTCTAAAATACAAAGCTTTTCACTTTGCAGTTTGAGTTGTAGTTTAGGTATGGCATGTGGATTATTTGAATATACACCTTTTTAAGATAATGAACTAAGTCTACTTAAATAGGCATATTTTTCTGGCCCTTATAATTCTTTTAGTTCTTCGTTTGCTATGGCTGCTAAGCCTTTCCTTTCTCCAATTTCTGCTACTTTCCATGTATGAATCATTTGTACTTTTGAAAAATAAGGTATTTCTTACAGTACCTTCCCTCTACATCAGGGATGTTACCTAGAATTCTCTTACTTCCTTGTAGCTGCTGTCTTTTCACTCCTCTCAGGTTCATACTTTCTCCTTGCTTTTGGTTGTAAAATATGGGGAGTCACTATGAAATTTAAATTAGTGAGTTACAGGCTTGGACCCTGTGCTATATCTCCGTTTAATATTTTAGTCTTTCCTGGCCGAAGACAGGGTTTCAGAAGATGATGTTCTGCTCAGGGAAGTACTTTATTTTGTCTAATTGGGTTTTGTTTTGGTTTTTTTTTAACCCTTGTTAAGTTCTAATGGCATGGTGTTTTGTTTTGTTTTTGCTTGAATAGTGATTTTGCCAAGTATGACATTAACTCATTTTCCTTTAGAGAAGGATTCTTAAATCATATGAAGGCAAGTCTTGGATGTGTGATGCTTTCTGAAACCTAAAATAAATGTCTTTCCTAAAATAAAATCATTTTCTTAATGATAAGTGTTGTCTTTTTCTCTGGGCACAACAATGTACATCTGTTTCTTTACTGAAACATTTTAATTTTTTTGAGGAGGAACACCTGAAAAGATGAAAGCTGCACTAGTTTTTGTGTTGACTTGCAGAATCCACTGCACTATAATATTACTGAGAATCCAGACACACAAGTTATAGACAAACACATCCAAACACATCACATTATAGAAAAAATATCCAAGATACTGTTTTATTTTTGTTGGAGAACTTGAGTAGTTGAGGGAAAGGATTTAGATTTCTTTCCTTAAAGATGAGATTTAGGTTTTATAGACTTATAGAGTATTTTAGGTTGGAAAAGACCTTTTAAGATCATCAAGTCCAACTGTTAGGCTAACACTGCTAATACCACCACTAAACCATGTCTCGAATCCACATGTCTTTTAAGTATCTCCAGGGAAGGTGACTCAACTCCTTCCTGGGCAGCCTGTTTTCTTAGGGTTGTCTCTGTGGTGGGTGAGGATGTGTCACGTTAATCATGACATACTTATGATGTATCACTAAGGGGAAAAATTTTACTGTTAAATTCATTAGAAGACTTTGGTTTCTGTGCTTTAATTCAGTTTTTCAACTGATTTAGCTACTCAGTTACTATGACAACACTATCATTATGAATCAAACTTTTTAAACTTGGTTATTTCTGTAAATGAAAGAATCTAACCTTAGTTTTAAAAGAATTTGCTCTCCCCAAATAATGAAATAAAATCACTATAATTTAAGTAACTTTCAGTACACTTTTTTTGAACTGTCCTTGTTTTTCACCTTCCCCCTCCACACACCTGCTGTAAGTTTATCATTCTTGTACAGGAAAGATGATGTTCTCATTTGTTAAACAAAATGAGGTTCCGTATTGAACTCCCTACCCCTTGCAAGTTACTGTATTGAGTAATTCAGGTATGAGCAATTAAACATATGGTCATCTCTTAGAATCCACTGGCCTTAAATAACCAATTTGGGGCCTATTTTTAGTTATTGAGGTATTCATTAGAGACTGGAAATATTGAAGTGCATGTACTTATGTGTGTAAGAATAAATTAGTTCATCCAAGGCCATAGGATTTAAAAAGGCAGTCCTGAGGATTGTTTATAGCAGAATCATGTCTTGCGGGGTTCAAAGCGTCTTCGAGGATTCTGACCATTCTGAAGAATGGCAAACAGAATAAATGATTACAAAGGGTCTCCTATGGCATTAAAAGTGTGCCTCTGTACATACCGTGGGTTATGGAATGTGTATTTACTTTCCATCCCATGGGGAATTGGAGTCTGCCGTTAGGAAGGTAAGCTGTATTTTTCTTTGAAAGATGGATCTGCTTGATTGCTTTGAGGTATTAAAAGCTTAGAATTTTTGTTATCTGCAGCTTGGTCTTAGACTTGAAGGAGGACTGGTCAAGGTGTTCAGCATCTTTTCACAAAAGAACTCCTGCCCTTTATGTCCATTGCCCTATATAACTATCAAAACAGAGGTAGCTGAAGGCTTTTATTCTTCCCCTCCCCCTTCCTCAACACCTATGGCATTTGTAGTCATGCCTGTGAGATTTGCAACATATTTTACAGGGTAGCAACATATCATGGTATTTATTGTCTTCAGAGGAAATTACTTTGTGTTCTCCAATGCAAAACTCTTTGATTAATTAAAATCCTTGCTTCTTAAGAATTACTGTGCACAACCCTATAGTGCATGTCTTTGTGTTTCTCTTCACCGGATGTACGCCCATCCCTTTGGGTACTGATGCTAAGTAGCCTGAGGGACAGAGGGAATGTCCTGATATAGTTCTGTTGTGAACTCTGTCTTACCACGGTCTGGTCTGGGAGGGTTCAGAACAGGTCTCAACCAGGAGTTTTCTAACTGCAGACCTGAGCTAGTAAGCCCTGCTGATTGTCTACAGAGCTGTGACGCGGCAGTGCTTGTTAGCTCACGTGCAGCGTTTCATTAATAGCAGCTACATGGTTTGTTTAGAGCTGCTTTCTCTTCACCTGTTTGGGTAGAATGAACTATTTCTGTTTCTGGAGTGCTGTGTAGACATGTCACAAATCAGATGGAGGAAGGAAGGGCTGTCTGTTTGCTTTGTGGCTAAAATCAAGGTAGTGAGCCCTGTGACACTTCCCTGTGCTCCAAGTAACAGCTTGGTGTCCAAAGGGTGCAAGTTGGAGTGTGGTCCTTAGTGGGATAAGGAGATGCAGACTTGCTCTGGAGAGGTTAGCTGTGCAGTCTGAAAGGTATGTGAATCACTGCAGACTGCACTGTCTGGCCATTATGGATTTGTATTTCTTAAATGAAGTTTGATCTTACTTGATATGTATCAGCGTATTAATATTTGAGCTATTTGCTCTTTAGAGATTTTCTGCAAAGGTCTTTAGTGGCTTATATTAAATTCACAATTACTCATTCTGGAAACTCATTCCTTCTTATAAATTTTAATTGTAAGTCCTTCAGGGTCCTTCAGATTGTTCTTTGGCACAAGAGTCACTGCTGTTTGATAGTGCTAATTGCAGTGCTGTATTGCACTTCAAAAACCTAATTGCAGCATGGTCACAAAATAAACTTTTTTTTTTACAGTGTGTTTATCCTGAGGTTTAAATGCTGAGGCAGCACTTTGGCTTATTTCCCAAAAGCCTGTTCAGAAACCAGCAGCAGCCTTAGCCTCTTTTCTTTAACATCATTTGCTTTGCAAGTGATGCAGCTTGTTCTGCAGAGTAGATCTCTGCACTGAAACACTCCCTTGCAGTCAGCACTAGGGAGAAATGGAGCTGCATGTTCAACAGAAATCAATGTTGCAGTGAGGTTACAGCGTATAGAAATGAAAACGTTTCATCAGGCAATGTACATAGGTTCAAGAGCTACTTTCAGCTACTGAATTTATGCCTCTATCTTTTCTTCTAGAAAGATGTGGATACTTTGCCCTGTCTCCAACGTCTCTTCCTCAGCTTCAACAATATATCTAGGTAAGGGAAACAGCAGTTTGCTTCTTATCAGTAATTTGAAGTATCCTATTGGAGCCATATTTAATTAAAATTTAAATTCAAATGCTGTGCATGCACATACCTTTTTTCTCCTAACATATCAGATAGCATAATCAAGCCATTGTGTATTTTCTACTTTCAACATCAACATTCTTATAACCCTTTGCATTTTAATGTAGCTGTACTGTGAGTATTCTATCAAGAAACTTGTATTTTTAATTTAAAAATTACTGTACTGTTTGCAATTATGGTCAAAATTAAAAATAGTTTTGTAAGTATGTTGTTTTACTGTTAAACTACATATCTGTTAAAGCAACATTACACAAGGTACATATTATATTTAACATACAGTCAATGGAGTTGTACAAACTGCTGAGTCAGATTCTGCTTACGATTACATTATTGCATGCTTGTATGTTACTTGTCCATATATTAATAAAACTGAAAGGTATATTCATGGTTATTTCCCTTTCAAAACAGATGGCAGAAGCAGAATAGCTCAACTTTCAAAGCAGGGCTTCTATAGTTGCAAGTAACTAAGTGCATTTTGTTATAAATAGAAATGTTTATTTTCTAGCTTTTTCATCTTCATGCATTTTTGGAGCCTGCATTTATACTAGTGCCAATGTTAAAAATAAACAAACACAAACCAACCCAAAAAAACCCCAAACAAAGGGCCTGTGTTATCTCCAGTTTGGTGTGTCCTTTTTTTTGGTTTGTTTTAATTCCTTAATCACCACCAGCCTTCTTTACATAGGATCAAATAATTTAATGTGGGACAGAGGAAAGATGCTTCATGTTCTATTTACTGGAAATACCGTGCTGTTCTTGTGGTACCTGCTTTCTCTGTAAAATGTTATACTTAATATGAGCTTTTATTGTAATAGCTACTTGGACATTTTTAGATGACCTGCATTATATTTTTTGCTGACATCTCCAACCTACTTGTCTGTGTTCCTTAGATTCTTAAAGTACCAGTGCAGCAGTACTCTTAAAATACTGATGTGTATTAAGTGTTTAAAAAAAATCAGAGATAAACTGCAGAAATCTTTCGTATGGTCTTCACTTAATTAATCTGCTAGTCTTTTTACTTTATGTTTTTAATTAGCATAATAAGGAGAGGGGGTTAGCGTTTTGCTTCTCTTGAATAATTCCCAGAATTGAAACATGCCTTTTGTTTCTGTTTTTCTAAAAATTGTCTTAGCTTGGCAAGAACATTGAGGGGACTGCAGTAGCTGGCTCCCTTGCCATCAGGGAGCATCACTGCAGTCAGTGGAATTTCTGTATCTTTTTATATACTTGGTATATTTTTGTGTAGCTTTCTTTCTCCTTTCTCACATTGTTTTATGAAAATTCATCTTCTTTTTGCAGGGTTCAAAAAGGAAAAGTGTTTCAGTTTTTCTGTGAGGTTTTTAAAGTAGATTTCTTTAACTTTATGTAATCAGGAGCTTGCCTCTTGGAACTTTATAATGATTTTTGTCACTTACTCAGTGGGGCCTCAGTTGAACTATTGATAGATCTAGTCTCAGTTTTCATGCAAGCTAGAAATACTTAAAACATTTATGCAAATATGTAATTTGGTTTTAATTTGTAGTTGGAATAGGTGTAAAAATAAAATCGTAATGTTAAGCAGAAGACATTGCTCTTGTATAAATTTTGTATACATACGTAGGTAGATAGGTGGATGGATCGGTTTAACTCTTTATTTACCAATTATCATTTTAAAACAAACAAAAAACAATTTTATTTGATCATCACATTTAGCTTGGGCTTTTGAAATAATAACCTTCTATTGCATATACCAGTTTTGAAGGTTAAAAACCCCATTAATTCCTGATTTGGAGTTATGTAGTAGATATGTCTTCCAAGAGGAGAATGGTTAAATATGAAAGTGTTCTCTTGACCATCTGTGTTCTCATAGTTAGCTTGATTCTGTTTGAACTGACCGAAGAAGTTATATGCAACCATACTACTACTGAACTGTTCTGCTACATTTGAACATTCCTACAACCCTTTTAACTGATTTTCTGGGCTTTTATGGGTTTACTGTGTGCCACATGGTAATTAAAAACTTAGTTTTCCTAGAAGCTTCTGTGTCTGTACAACTGACCTTTCTTTTAGACAATCAAATTGATGCACAGATATTCTATTTAATCTATCTGTAGGTTCATAGAGAAAACCTGCAAATGGAAACAAACAACAAAGTGTATTGTCAAAATCTGGATATATTTGTTACAGGTTCATTAAAATATTTTATTAGTGATCATTAAAAAAAGCAGCATTTTTGAGGCAGTGCTCCCATGGAAAGTTTTGCTGCTTTCTGTTTTTGTATGTCAGCAAATATTCTTGAATCTTAAAATGATACACACTGACATATATGAATTAATGTTTCAGTAAAAGATTGGAGAATTCCTTTTAAACACTGTAACTGTTTAAGGCATGAGTGTATATCATCGGTTTAATCACTGATAGTCTTTTTCCCTCATGCTTCAGAGGAGGCCTCAGAATGCTGCTGCTTCTCTGCAGACCTTTTAGCTGAAAGGATATATTGGCAAGATAATCTAAGCTAAAACTGAACACTGTAGAATTTGATGCTGATCTGAAACAAAAGTACTACTAGTTCTGGCTTCAGCCCACAAAAATGTAGCAGTTACAAACTGAAGGCACTCATAGCTGATGGCTGACGGGAATATATATCTCTAGAACTAGTCATAAAGAAGGGGGAGAAATCCCATTTTCAATTTGTTATATGGTACTGGGAAGGTATTATAGAAACTTTTCTTCAGGAAAGATATGCCACTGGGATTCAGAACGAGGTTATTGCTCATATTTCAAAATGTGAAACTAGAGAAGACCATTTTTTAATCTTGGAAACAAAATACATATTTTCCCTGTTACGCTGCTGTCCAGGTCAGCACTATGTTGGCTTTCCATTTAGTAAGGCATGTAGTCTAGCCATATGGAAAAGGTTGGATACAAGCTCAAAAGGCATGTAATTGTTTTTCTTCGTTTGGTTGCTGAATTGGAAACCTGAGAGAAGGAATGTTCTTAGCCTAGTAAAAACAAGAAAATATCCTTTTTTTCTTAGCAGAAAGACAAATTATAAATACACTGTTAAATACTTCAACAAAAACAGTACAGGGGGAATGAGAAGTTGACTGTGGTAACATCTATTTCCATCAGTAGTTTAGTGGTTAGAAACCTGAGGGAAAAACCCCAGTTTTCTTCTTTGACTGAATGTTCTTTGAACGTACAGTTCCCCCCTGGGTCTTCTGTCAAACTGTAGCAAGTATGTTGGCTTCCTTCTCTTCCCCAGAGCTTTTCCCCTGTATGGAACATGCTTTAGAGAAGTCAGTGATGCAAATATACAGAGAAGGAACAACTGTCTTCCTAAGCAAGTAGGCTGTAACAGAGGACGAGTGTTCCCGCGTCCTGTTCTTGCCTACTGAAGGTGTAAATGGGAATGTGTATCACTGGTGGAGGTTGAGCTAACACCGCTTCAGAACACTCTGCTGCTTAGTAAATGACACGTTCTTGGTATATAGGAGAGAAGTGGGTTTGCATCCCCCCGGCAGAGGGGAGAATTGGATGCAGGACTCTGAGCCTGCATACAAGATGTAAACTGATCTATTCTGAAAAGATTTCCAGGAAACACTTTTTGATAATTTAGCCCAAATTTACAACTTGTTTCTGTGTTGCTGAAACTACCATTTGAGCAAAGATAAATTCATGTGGGAAGAACAGGACGGGGAAGGAGAGGTGGTTGCTGTAGTTTGGTGAGACTGCTGCAGAAGGTCTTTTGGAAAGAGAAGCAGACATTCCACTTGAGAAGATTGACTGAGGCAGTCTGAAACAACATTATCCACAGCTGCTTTGTATTTCATGAGCAGGTTAAAGACTCCTTTGTGGTGAACAGAGCCTAGAAATAGCATTGAATCAGTGGCTTCTGATTCCTGTAGGGTGGTCACCACTTGGCTTTGTCACAGCAGTCTGCGTGCTGGGAAGCAGGCAGAAGCGTGGTTGTAAAGTATGCAGTCTGTTTGGTAAGTGTACAACATTAAAGCTTTGCTTGGCTTCGGATTGGGATGCCAATGTGACAAGTGCAGTATATTACGTTTTCAACATTGACTTTCTAAAGCTCCTATTTTTCATATGTGTATACAGAGATGTGAAAACATAGCTATTTGCACTACTGTTTTGCTCTAAAATTGAACTGCTAACAACAGTGAAAAGCAGGATAAAGTAAGCACATCTGGTTTAGCTCCAGAATGAATGTTCTGGTATGCTGAAAAACTGAGAATTTCAAGGCACAGCAGTAAGTGGAGGGTCTTGAAAACACTAGCACACTTTCAACTTTTCTGTCCTTTCCTGAGGAGATTGGTTTTATTAAAAACCTGTAAAACACATATAATGGCAGAAGTACTGCTTGGTTAAATGTTTACTGCGAAGTGCTTGAGGTAAATATATTTATTGTTTTTAATAAATATGTTTACATTATTTGAAACCAATTTTGAAGACCAAAAAATTTCATAATTGTCAAGCAAAATCTATCCTAGCCTAATGGAAATGCAATTATCTTTTCTTATTCTAACGTTTATGAGTTTGCTTACTAACTTCTGTGTCATTTGGAAAGATTATCTTTTATCTTCAGGGCATACTAAGTCTGTATTTTATATGTCAGCCTGATCTTTCAAAAACGTGGTTATGCAGGCTCTTTTATGGAAAGGAAACTGAATCACACAAAGCAGAAAATGATCATCAAACTTGTTGTCTTAACCACATGCACAAACCACCCGATTCTTCAAATACGCTAAGCACCTTCATTGCCTTCACTGCAATCTGTGCATAGTTCAGTTCCCATCAGTTCTTATGTTGTTTTAGTACACTAAGCAGACAGGTAGTAGTGTCTTCCACTTCACTGTCACTTTTCTGTTGCATCCATTGGATATATCATGTAGAAGTTATTTCCATGCTGTACTAATTGTGTTGGGTTTTTTTGAGATTGGTATTGGGTGATTTCTTTACTTCTGCTGGCTGATGTTGGTATCCAGGCATTTCTTCTGCTGGCTGAGACTGACTGCTGTTTGGTCATACTCTTTATGTTTTATCCATCTTTCTTTTGGTTGTTGTGCAGAAATTGCTTTATCTAATACCTAGAGTCTTTCAGACATCTCTCATTTTAAAATCTGACATTCTGTAGATGTGAAACCCTTTGCAGCTGAATGTTAGTCCTCAGCAGATTGTGCTTTTTTGAAAGTGGAGTGATACCAATGATTAGGGCAGTTGCCACTTCATGCAACACCTCTATGACAGTCTTTACTTTGAACACCTGTAGTGCATACGTTTTCTGATCCCTAAGTTCAGGGCATACTTACGGTTTGGTATCCTGCCACGTATTAGTGCGGGAAGACTCCTCCTCTCACCAAGAGTGAGAAGAACTATAACCAGTTGATGCAATCAGTAGGATTGTCAGAATACTAAGAAAAGACAATAATTATATATTTGCCCATTCAGAAATGATCTCTATTTCAGAATGTCATTAAGTATTTATTTAGTAAAGTGATCCTCTGTTTACATTATTGTGTCATCATCATTAATTCTTTTGTAATTTTCATATTTTTAAAATTTCATTCTCAAAAGTAAAGGGTCAAATTATTTCATACTTCCCCCTTGAACTCAATTTCATAACACAGACTCAACTGTTGAAAGCCGAAGTGCGTAAGGATGGGTGCACAGCTGTACATTGTATAAATGTAATCACTTTCTTAAAAGGCACGGGGGAGTCATACTTACTTCTGTAACTGTTCAGCTTTTTTTGAAATCAAGTTAAATAATTCTCTGTTGTTGAAAAATACTATTTATCTGAGGCAGCTGCTTTCTTTTCACAATCTACCTTCAATGAAAGGACCATGATAACAGCCTGTACCTCTCTAAATACATTTTACCCAGGATAGTTATTTTTGTCAGGAAACCAAATCAAATGTCATCTAAAAAGCCAACTTGTTAGTGTTTGTAGGCTGAACTTGAAACCAGAGACAGACCTGTTCTGAAGATAGTATGATGCTTTCGTAGTTGTTTTTCTTCCAATATTTAATGGTGTTGCAAACATCCACATCATTCTGTAGTATTTGTGACTGTCTTTTTTCTTGTATTTTCCATGGTTTTCATGCTGGCTTTGATGGCAAATACACCTTGGGTTTTGGGTTTTTTTTGGAATATGAGTTGATATGTATCCTATTTTTAGGGGTTTTTTTTAGGTAAAACTACACTCCCATAGTTAACAAGTTCCCCTTATTCTGTATCTATTTTTACCTGTATGCGAAGAGATTAAAAATTATAACAGCAGCAGCTGTTGGTATATCAAGATACTTACAACTTGGTTTGCCATATACAATATCAATGCGTGGGATTTTTCACTGCAGGTATATGTTAATGTTCTATCCTTAAGAAAGATAATCTTCCATCTCAAAATTATTCCTACTCTATGACATTAAAACTTTAAACTTTTTTGGTTACAGTTTTGAGGATATTCTGTGCCTTGCTGATTCCTCATCTTTGTCAGATATCACCCTTGATGGCAATCCAATAGCTCAGGAGACATGGTACAAACACACTGTTCTCCATCATATGATGCAGCTCCGACAGCTAGATATGAAGAGAATCACAGTAAGAAATTTCTGTTTTTGTCAAACTTACTAGATCCTTAAATTCAGAAGTAAAATGACGATTTTCTGTATATATATGTATATTAACAGTACCACCATTTTTTCTTAATTTAATATTGAAATGAATGGTAAACAGACATTACAATATTTAAAACTTGAACCTTTTAAATTTTGTTCATTATTGTGTAAGGGTGTGCTTTTTTTTTTTACTTCATTAACATGTTTATTTTTAAATGCTTGAACTCTTCATTAGTCAATACCGTGTGATCACTTGCCACATGACGTGAGAGAACCTGCAAAGCTTTTGATTAGAACTTTCTCCACAGTCTTTACTGGTTTGCTCTACAGCTGAAAAGGAACAATGTATTTCTTCCAAAGGAATAGTCTGTTTGCCCTAAAATTGGTGTTATTGGTGTCTTCTTTCATTTAAAATCTTGGTCATTCCTTTAGTCTGCCTCCCTAAGGAAACCTGTCAATCACACTGTTTCTGTGTGTTTGCCTGTATTTCTCTCTCTCTTACCTAAACCACCCTCCCCATTCATCTCTGTTTCTGCTGCTCAAGTTCAAGTAACCTTGGTGAGGCAGCGAGGACTTGCAGACAACTAGGTCTCCTACAGACTTCTTGAAAATCCACCCTAAGGTAGAGGATGAAGGGCATTCAACAGGGGCCTTACAATTAAGTCAACTATTTTATCTCTTAATATAGGAATAGCCATGCTAATTCCTCTGTGTCTGCTCAAAAGTGATGTGAAAGCCTGACCTTCGTACAGGAGAAATCCTTCCAAAAGTGAGATAACAAATTTAATAGCACTTAGAAGCAACATTGCAGCGTTACCTTTTTGAGCTGGTGCTGATACATGTATCTTATTTTAAATGCTCATTTCCTTCGTACAAAAGTTGTACTGAATTATAATTTGCACCTGTTGTTTTACCATCCATCCTGTTGTCCTGTAGCCGATCCACCATGCATATAAAATAGAACCAATTTTGATGAAAAATATAACATGTGCATGGAAAACTTTGATTTTAAAATTAAAGTGCTTTGGGACATGGGAGTTTTACTCTTAGTGTCAAAAATAATAAATACTTGTTTGTTTGCAGGTATTCTGTGTTTTTTTTTTTCTTTTGTGCATTTATGTTAATTAAATACTTGCTAGTTTCATTCTTTTTTAAAAAGATAATTTTCTAAGTGTTATATCAGAAATTTGAGTCATGTTCAGAAAATATCTCTCCCTCCCCCTGGCCTCTGCTCGGGAGGAGGTGGATCCTGGTCAAACTCTGAGTGATGGGAAAAACTGTAGAAAGAGCTCAAACTCCTCTTTAGACTCTGTGGGATCTGTATGAGGAAAAAGCTACTAGAAATGCACAGCCATGGGAAAAACTTAATCTGGGTTTGCACCTTGTTAAACATCAGAGAACCAACCACAAGACAAAAAGCCATGGAAAACCAGGCTTCACCCATTGTGCTGCTCATAAATGTACTAGTAAAAAGAATGTGTTTTGTGTTCTTTTTATTTGCCTTCTGGTTTTTGAGCCTTGAGAACTTCTTTTAACATTTTCTCCTTGTAGAAGGTGCTATATGTTTTCTGCAATAAAATCTGTGTTACCCAGATAATCATATGACTTAAGAAAAATAACAAGTGTCGTGAGGATTGTGATAAAACCGGGGAGTCGGCAATGCCAAATCTAGCTATTCTGCCCAGTAATGCAACACGCTGTTGCCATTGGCTGTAAGGGTAAATGTAGCCTGTGGGGGAATGAAAAGTACAGTATTGGCTATGTACTTTTTCTCACTTGATTAGCATACCTAAACTCTTAATTACATTTGTAGGATCTTTCCTTCAGTAGTCTGAAGGGCGTCAAGACCATTTTGAACGTAAGCATTGCTTTGTCTGGTAAACTCCGGGGAGTTGGACTGGGATGCTGGTTCTTTCTGACCAGGAATTCTTCACTAGCTCTTCTGCTCAAGAACTGAGTTTTACACAATCGTTACTTCTGCATTTAACTTTTCTTTTACTTGCTGGCTTCACTGGGACAAGAAAATTATTTGAAGAAAGAATAAAATCTGGAGGATGTTTTCAAAAGTTTGCAAGAGCCTTTGAAGTTTTATTCATACTGGTTTTCTAGAAGACACGTTCTTTTGTGCTAGGCCTTTTCTATAGGATTCTCTGGAGAAAGAGGTGAGGTAATGTGACTTGATTTATGGCACAATGACATGGGCTTAAGTGAAATTGAAGTGTGTTACAGTCAAAGCAAGCTCAGGTTGCATTGTTTGGGTAACATATAATGGTTGATTTTTCTGGGCCTTGATGCTTTTTGAATACCTTCTGTAGTTTGAACCTTTGAAGAAGTGGACCTGTCCTGTGGCACTTACAGTTTAGCTGTGACCTATCTTTTTTTTCCTCCAGGCTTTCGTAACAGTAAGCAGATACTGTCTGCAGACATGTAATGAAGCATTAAAATATGGATGAAACACATATATATTCCTTACAGAAAAATTATTTAACCAGGAACACTTGCTATCCATTGCTTTACATAACACTTTCTCAACAATTTGGAAATATATATATGTTTATATACATGTGCATATATAATATATAGCATATATATTTTTAAAATGTGCTGTGGTTACCAAATGGAGAGGCAAGCTGCATCTTTTTAACAGTAAAACTGCTGCTTTTCATTGAGGTTTTATAGGTTTTGGATGCTTAAAGTAAGAGAGTTATGTTTGGGTTTGATTATTTGCATAGAAATGTCTCTGCTGATCAGTGAGTAGGTTCTACTGCTCTGTCCAGGATAGAATTCATTATCGATTCCATCTCCACTGTGGAATGTTCTGGCTTTTTATGGAAGGATCCCTAATATTTTTTTTTTCTTTCCACTTGAAAATAAGATTCTTCAGGAACGCCTAGAGTCATTCTTGTGGATTGTAATCCTCTCTCTTAAATCAGGTCTTGCAAAGATATACTAAATTAATACTAAAACACGGAGATGGATCTCAATGTCAATTATCACTTAAAGGACAATTTGTCAAAAATCTTCTACTTGTTATTTTCCATGCCTACATTTCTACTGGAACCATCCTTAGGTTCTTACTTCATTCTTGAGTAAAATCAGCCCCTTTGGTATGCATAATAACAAGTGGTCTGCCTTCTGCAAGTGTAGGTGAGCTGATTTTTGTGTATTATAAGTGTAATGTGTTGAGTCTCTTCATGTCTTGAAAGATTAAATGTGTATTCCAAGCCATTCTTTTTTTTCATTACCTAAAGTAGTTTATATCAAGTATACTATAGCTGTTTCTAGTCTACAGTAAAATTATTTGAATAACTTGAAAAATTATTTGAACAATTTTAGGACAGATCTGCTGTGGAAATGAAATGCTGCATTGCTTGTGTGCTGACTTTGCATCTTTCTCTCCTGTGACTGAAATGATACCATTTGTGGGAAAAGAGCTTGTTTGAATAATAGTAAAGCAGTAGTGAGGAATACAACGTGCTTTCCATAGTGGTCTCTTTAGGACCCTTCTCCGGTCCTGCTGGATGTTACCTCTTTGAAAGGCTGCTGCCGTACTGATCGGTTTGGCCACATCAGGGTGGTTAGGGGACGGTGGTGCACACGTAGCAGGAGGGGGAGCTGTCAGCACACCACAGCGACAGTTTTGTTACAGCTCTAATGGGGAGTTTTTATGAGGGGGGTAATGGCTTTCATGTGCTTTGTTCTTGTGTGCTCCCGCTACTGTTGCTTCACACTGAGAATGCAAACCTGCAGCGTCCAAATCTCACTGCAAAATGAGACTTTTGCTCCTTTAGGAAACATATTCCTCCCTCTTTCTCTCGCACCTTTTTTTTTTTTTTTTTTTTTTTTTTTTTTTTTTTTTTTTTTTTCTTTCTGTGAAGATGGCTTAGTCATTTATTAAGTTTTAGGTGGGAAGTGGTGAACTAATAAATGGAGGAGATTTCAGTATACAAGAGGACGTCTGAGTCTTTTTGTAACTATGTGGCCCTTGGCCTTCTGGAAAACTCTCCTCCCCTGGTCCAGCAAAGTTTGCTTTAAAGACAAAAAAAAAAAAAAGTAGCCAACAACAGCAGAATACTGAGGAGGAACAGAGAAAAAGGGAGACAAAGAATTTCAAAAGATCTGTAGCTAAAAGAGAAGAAGGGGTGATAGTAAATTGTGGCAAGGTTGTTAAGGGCTTTGCTTTATAACTTTGTAGGTTTTCTGTGTTTGCAGGTTTTTTTGTGGGTTTGGGCGAGATGTGTTTTCCAAGATTGATTGCATGTGTTGTATCAGATAAATTAAGCAATCTATATTGATTTGATTTCCATAAAAAGTAGATTTGGCCCTTGATCTTTGTTCAGATGTTGTCTCTTATCATTGTGCCTTTACGAATACTGAGTAAAACGCAGATAGATTTTCTTTTTAGGCAAAGCTAATTTATTTTGTAAAAGAAATAGTATTTTTTAAATGTCTGTAATTAGGATAAACTCCTGATCAAGAAAAATATCTTCTGCACCTATTAAAAGACTATATTGTTAGAATGTAGTTTCCATGAGTTCATGTCATTCTTTGTGTACTGTACTGACTTGAATGAGGGCAGTAGACCCTCCTGTATGGAAGACAGAGTCATAAAGTACACATTTGGACTGGGTTAAGGAAGGGCTTGGAGATGGGAGATCAGGTAAGAAGAGATATTTTTAGAAACTGAGAGAAAACTAAATGAGGGAACTTTGTGCATGTTTGTGTTATAAAGCTTGGGGGAAAGAAACCCACCTTAAATTGTTTTGAAACAAATAATAATAATGAGGGCTGATTTCTTATAGATCAAAGTAATTTTGTTTTCTAAAAACACAACAATACCTCAGTTTGGAGCTGAGTCTGTGATGACTGGCCAGTTGTTTTCTGCCAAACAGAATGGTTAATTTCTGCTTCCTCTCCATTGGTGGGAAAACTAGTTTACATTTCTCTTCATTCTACATACCATTTTTATTAATCAAACTTTCAGGGAACAAAAAAACCTTGTTACTTCAAAATGTACTTTAGGTTCTTTAATACGTTCAATGTGTTGAAAAGTCATTCTTCATTAGAGAAGATTAAGAAACTGAAATAGTAAAAAGCTTGTTTCTTTAGGAAGCCAGATTAAGAAGCATAAATGCAAGGTGAAATGAAGAGAACTAAATAGAAAATTAAAAAACAACAGAACAATTCTAACCTGCTTCCTATAGAAAGATATCACTAATGTGGTTGGCAAGTGTTTATATTTTAAGACTTCATTTTTTTTAAGTAAACACCAATTTAGTATACTGCAACATGTAATTGGGACAAATGGCTGTCATGAGGATCATGTTTTTAGGTTTTAATGTTTTGGATCATACCTTGCGGAACAGTACAATTTTATTTTGCATTATTAATTATACATTCAGATTTGTTTCATACACCTGCAGGGGGTTTATTTCATGATTTACATAGCCTCACCCTGAACCCTCCCATTCAGGCACTGAGTTATATTGTGTGGTATTTTGTTTTATTGGGATATCGGCAACCTTCTGTATCTGTGTATGGGCTCATTTAATTATTTATCTGTTGTTTCGCCTTTAACGTGGACTACTGCCCTCTTTAGGTCCCGTCTAACCCGGATTATTCTGTATTTCTATTTATTCTGTATTCTGTCCTATGTAATTCTACCAGCCCCTTGGTAATACCCTGTTCAGGAAGAACTGAAAAGCCCAGAGGCAGAGGAGGCTGCTAACAAAACTTCACCCTCAGAAGGCCAGGAGCTGTTTCAGAACACCAAAAAAACCCCAGATGTTAGGCTTTCAATTAGTGGTCCAGGGAAATTCTTGCGTACAGTTGCATTAAGGTACTCCTTGTTTCATGTATGCATATTAGGTTGAAGACATGGAGGAACAATTTGGAAGTTTGTTGTTCTTTCGCCTTTCGGATTCATGTCAAAATCTATGGTGTGGCAGCGGGTTTCAGGGGTCTGCACACAGATAGGAGTAAGTTTGCTATGTGAACTGAACTTGTGCTGTGGAAATTGTTTTCTTAAAAGTGTAATAGCGATGCTAAGTGTGAAGTTCCTGTTTTGCTTTAACTTCCAGTAACATTCACCCGTCTGCTTAGGGGTTCTTACAATGCTCTAAACTTAGCATGTTTTATTTAAGTAGAAATTTTGACATGTCAGTATGTCTTCATGGTTATGATGGGTTTTTGTTAATTTTCTTAGGACATATCTTTCTGGATAATGAAAGTGAAAAGTTTAGGACAGGAGCTTTCTATTTTGAGGGAAATCAAAACACTTTCTGTACGCTCTGGGAAGATACTTTAAGAGAAACACCCAAATAGCATGTGAAGTAAATAAAAATAAGTTAAAGTATGCTTCCCAAATATTTGTGTTGGAAGGACTCTATACTTTTTACTTCATAGTGAACATTTCTTTTGTTACTTGCAAAATATATGTTCTAAAAATACCATGCTGTGAGAACGCTTCGACTTCTGTAAACAGGGAGTATTTAACCTAATATGGGTGTATTGCAGTATTAAATTGCTCTACCAGGAAAATTAAGCATCTTCACTTATATGGCTTTTATTATTTAGGAATCAGTGGCTTTCTTCTTGAAACTTCTTCTTGAATAGGTAGTACTATTAATAAGAAATAATCTTAATGTACTGTAGGTAACTTGGAAAATATGACTTTATTGTTAGGTTATGTTGCTGATTGAGAAAAGCCAGCCACTGGAAACAGTTTATAATAATAAAAATCAATCTTAGATTATAATTCGAGCATAAATAGAATTCAGCTCATTTGTTTTGTGTCTTTACTTACCAAGAAAACTTACTAATGGCAGAAATTGTGAAGATACAAGGATATAATGCACTGTTCTATTTTAAAATGTTATTTTTCACTGTTGTACTCACCATGTGCTTTATATTTTTTCAAAGACCTTTACAAATGCTAGTTTTAAATTGCTTTAAGTATTTGCATCTGAGTGTTTCTTCTGTATTTCTTGATTGATCTATAATTACCAATTTTATTGTTCTTAATATTCAGAAACATTGAAATGTTAAAAATCCTAAAATGGTATTAAAATTTGTTTTTCAAATACCAACACAAAAATGCATTCATAATTTATCAGCAGTACTCTTCAGAACCTGATTAATTCCTCCCTTTCTGAGGTTGGTTTTCTTTTTTTCTCTAGGAAGAAGAAAGACGTATGGCATCTGTTGCAGCAAGAAAAGAGGAAGAAAGGAAGCGTGAAAGCCATAAACAGACCTTGCTTAAGGTATTTTCTATGCCTGTTCCAATCCTGCTGTAAACCAGTTTACAGCAGTAATCTATATCCTAATATTTTTGCTGTAGTCCTTTTATATCCCAAGATGCCTCTATCTCTTCAAACTTGTTTTTTTACAGTTTAAACAGTGCACTCCTGTCGTGGTTTACCTCGGCTAGCAATTATCTCCACAACTGAAACTCTCTTCAGTCAGCCATGCAATTTATACTTTAGCAAAAAAACCCAGTTCCATACATGAGTGAGGATGGCAGACTTAATTTTCACCAATCCAGAGCTAAAGGAAATCCAGACTAAAGTAAAGGACTTTTCAGTGATTTCAATTCCTTGAACTTGGTCTCCCCTGTTTCCGGTCAGTGCTCTAACTGCTGCCGTACAGGGTGTTCTGAAGTAGTTTTTCCTTCATTCTTTCCCGTTGAAGTTGTTCCTTTTTGTAGAAGGAGCTGAGCAGTCATCAGAGCAGCAGCTAGACTCCAGCTGCTATCTTCTTCAGAAGTACGCTTATCTACCAGGGCACCTGGCCTGCTTAATGCTCACACGCATGCGATGGACTAGCTCTCACAGGAGAGACTGAGGTGCACTCCAGAACATTCTTATGGGGCTGGTGACTAAATGGCCTCTGCCTCTAAGAGGAGACCGAAGTTCAAGAGTCTAAGAGTATCTGCATCCCATTTGTTGTGTGAATATCACCATTTGTCTGCAAATCATTTTTGTTTGGAGGGGAAAAAAAAAAAAGGCACCTAAAACTTTTTGTCCTCCCGTAACGGTTATACAAAAAGCTCTTTCAATTTGGCAGACAAACAGACAAAAAATTGTCATGTGTCCATATTGTTAGGTTGCCTAGGTAAAATCATATTTCATGAAGAAGAATAGGCTGAAAGTAGTTGCAGGAGGCTGCAAGAAGTGTAGCATATGTATATAACTGAAAAAAATAAAAAGACACAGACTGTTAACAGTATATTAAAAGACAGTTTAAGTACATTTAAAAACTCCTGAGAACCTAAATAAATGAATGGGGAAAAAAAATTCTGTGTCCAGTGCCTAAGAATATATTTTGATTTCCTGTACATTTGTATCCAAGTATATTTTTGTTTTCTGTTAAACAAACAAACAAATCATATTACAGAAAAGGCTGTGATACAGTCTTAATTTTTTAATCAGTATCGTGGTTTGTTTTCTGGTCTATTTTCATCTTTTCCTCTAAGATATTGATGTATTTAACCTCTCTTCAGGTTTGGAGTTTTGATGCCAGTTCTTAGCAACGTAAAGAAATGGGAAATTAGTAAATAATGTTCACACATAGTGTTATTTTATGCTGTTGAAAAGCTAACCGTGGACTGGAAGAAAGTTGGCGTTTATTGGAAGTGTTTATTTGTAGGTCATGCTCTTAACCATTGGTATCAAGTTTCCTTCTAGCGCAGGGATTATTTGTTCTTGATGGCCTAAATTTCTCAATGCATTTTCCTGGTGGAAACTCCCCTTAGAAGAAAAAAACCCCATTTTTAACATATAAGCCATTGTGACTCAGATTTCAACATTAAATAGTAGATTTTATAATTTAATTGAGGTATCTTTCTTATCTTCAAATAGGTAAGTGACATATGAGCCAAATACCTTTTGAATGATCCAGTGATTTTGTGTATCTTCTCTCTTTAGATATATTCATGTGTGTTATGATTCTGGTTTCTTTATTCCTGTTCAACACAGTTGAATAGGAAGAAAAAAAACTGCTCATGGATACCATGTCCAGCGAAAGCTGCAAACTATAGGATTTTCTTCTTAGTTAAATCTGAAGAAAATATTTAGTAAATCATATTCTGGAATTTTTGCTGTTGCTACTTTCCTCCAAACTTTCTTAAACTGTATGCAGTGTAATTGAAATTATATTGAAAATATTGAGGATATCATGTTTTTCATATTTTCTAAGGGTGGCAAGATTTAAATTGAAGTTGTTACTTCATATGGACTTGTAAGCTACATTTCTATAGCAACATCAATTTAGAGTATGATGTTATGAGCCACGAAATCATTGGCTTTGACTGATACTCTTGTTTTCTCCATGTTTTGTGAATGTAAATGTATTTTATGCTAAGCTCATCTGTAATATTTTCCTTTCACAATTTCGGAGTCAGTGTTTGAGTTTCATTGAGAGTAGTGTAACAATGAGAAGGCTGACTCCAGAGAACTAGATCTGCTTCTGAAAAAACAAATGAAGTGAAACTAACAATGAATTTACCCTTTGATATCATTTACGTGTGCAGTTTTCATTTGATAAGAATTCAGTCTAAACAGTCCATGAGCCCCTTCTAAACACCTTGTTCTTTAACCTTCACTGAATTGGGTATATTAAATCATACATATCTGGATGGTACAACAGAATAATAACCCGTCTACAGAATCATAGTAATTGACAGGATTTGCACGAGACTAAAAGAAGTAGTACTTAATAGACTTCTGAAATATCGGTTCATTGTCAAGACCTGTTTAGAATATAAAAGCTAGTAAAACCCACCCTCTTATGAAATATTTGATCTTAGATCTGTTGTAGTCCATGTGTCTATCACAAAGGTAATTTCAGTCCTGTTTTTATAAAAATGGCTTTTTCCAGCTTTCATAAGATAACTTCTTGCCCCCACGCAGAGTCTGTTGTAATTCCTGCTCAGACTTAGAGCAGTTGTGTAATTGTCTTAGCTCCAGTGCTAGGGTCGCTCCAGCAGCGTGGAGGAAGTACAAGCAGTCTGCCCTGTTTTGTGGGAGGAATATTACAAGCAGCTTCAGTCTGTCAAAATGAGACTTCTGTGGTTATACAAACTAAATAGTTTAACTTGATTCTTTCACAAGCTGTGACCTTACTGTGCTACGTTTCTTGTTTCTGTTATTGTAAGTTTTGTGCAATCATTATTTGCTGGCAGTTTGCAAAATAGCACCGGAACGATGCTTTGATTCCAATGTACAACCACCAACCAGTACCAATGTTTGTTCAATTTAAAATGTTTAGGTTAAGCTGAATATTTCTTGCAGAACAATAAAGTGTGTTGGTACTGCACTGTCATAACTTGTTATGACTTTTATATCTTGTTTCAGGAAAAGAAACGGTTAACCATTTGTAATATTGCTCGTCAGTGGGAGATACAGCAAAATCGAACAGCTCTTGTGGCTTCTTTAAACCAAGATAAAGATAATGAGCCCTGTCAGATCAATGGCAGTGCTGCATATGTATTTCCTGAAGAAAGCAGGTATTTTATTGGGAAATACTTCTTACTCATGTCTTATATTCCAGGTTACTACTTCTCAACTCTGAGATCTCATTGTATTTCATTATAAAAAATAATATATCTAAATCAGTCTTGAAAAGATGGTTTACTTAATGATTAAACCTGTTGTCCATTAAAATAAGTAGTATGTATTAAGTAATATAACAGCAACTCATTGACTAAAGAAGTACAAGCTCAATTATGTGATTTTGCTAAATAAGGGAGGACTTCATGTTTGCAAGAAATGTTAAATATGAATTCTTGAGCCTTCTTAAGGCTGTTCATTTCCTTTAGAGAATAGATTGTTGCTTTCAGTTGAAATGAACAAAATGGGGATTTAGGAGCATTACAAACATTTGTAACCGCTTTTTGTATTCAACAGGTTTCATAAACTGAGTGTTGAATTCATGTTGTTAGTTTGAACAGCAGCATCTATTATTGAACTGCTTTCATACTCATGCTATTTTAACAGGAGCACTTCTTTTACTTAGTTTTATTTGTATGATAATTTTTTCCAAAGATAATATTTGTATTGTTGGTTTAAATTATGTTATTTTTTGCGATACCCTTTGTGGCTTGCTTATTTGCATCTAAAAGATGGCCATCTGGCAACCCTTATAATTGAAAAATTTTTCAAGATCAGTGACTAAGTAATGAGATGGCAGGTGAGATTCAGCATAGATAAGTAATTACAGCTTCAAATATGAAGTGATGAGTTCTCAACATTTCCAGTCAAGAGTGAAATCTTGAGAGTTCTGCTTGATTTTGTCAAGAAAATATCAGTTGAGTGACCATTAGTAGTCAAAAAAAGCAAAATACATTAAAAATACTAGGAAAGTAGTAAAGAATAAAATTGTAACAGTCATTGTGCAACTCTCCAAACCTGTGGTTTGTGTTCATCTGGAATCCTCTGTGCACTTCAGGTCCAGTTAGCTAAGTATGTCATGTTGGAAGTAAGACACCGAGATGAGAGTTGAGACTACCTGGACTTATTGCTAAATTTTAAAATCACTGTTGTGAATTGGAAAGCTCACATTAATTTAAATAAATGTTTATTCTTCCCTATTAATTAAGGATTAACCAAGGATAATAGACCATAAGATTCTTCTCATCTCTAAGCAGCATAATGAATCCGGATATGCTTATCAGATAATGTGATATGTGGGTTTGAGGAGGGAGTGATACTCTTGTTCAAGAATAAAAATAATGGTTCAATACTGTGAATAGCATTATCCTGGATTGCTTTAAAAATAGTCTGTTCTTAAAGTGATACTCATGTCCTAACTTTTATGTTTCATGTAGCAGAGAATGTGAAGGTAACCGCTTGAATGAATACATTGGTTGAAGTTGGGTTTAGATACCTGGAGCAATATGAGATAGGTTAAGTTAGCATTCTGAGTTAAAATTTTAAGCAGTTTATGAAATTTCAGTTGTTCATTTATTTATTTTTCTACTGTCCAACTCAAATACTCATAGAGTCTTTCTCTCAGAGAAGTAGAGCATTCTCAATGTTACTTGATGGAAAGAGGATTTTCCAGCCCTTAATGCTTTTGAACCAGATTGGGTACTGCAAATAAATGACTGCTGAGAAATGCAATCATATTTGACAGTTGTGTTTCAGGAAATGAAAGGACTGCCATTCAGTAGAATGATGATACTATCTCAAAATCATCTCAGTTGTATCGTTGCTTTTTTTTTTTCTTCCACAGGTCCCTTGATACAATACTGAGCAGTGCAGTACAAGGCTTGTCTGTTCTGGAGTCTCATTTAGTAGAAGTGGAAGGAGACACCCTTTCCTTGTATGGTGCTGGAGCGCTGGAGTGCCTGGATCGAAACTGGAGTGTTCAAACAGCTGGAATTATTGCCACAGTCTCCTTTATGTTCATAGAATTTGATGAAATTGTTCAAGTGTTAACAAAACTGAAGATAAAATTTCCTAATTCTGTGGTAAGAATGCCACAGCTTTCAGCTGTGTGAACAGCTATGGAATATGTATTCTGTAGTAGACCCTTATTGTGGCATAGGCACCCTTGAGTGCCTTTCATATAAATAGATATGTTTCGGAATTACATGTTTGCTTGGTGTTATCCTATAATGAGAACTTCAACTTGATACTTCTTAAAAATCGAGACTTTAATTTAGATTCTCGCCCAAGATGGTGTTTTCTTTTTGACTGATTATTATTTCTCTTAATTCCTTTGACCTTTCCAAGTTGCAAACCTGATGTGTAAATACAGTATTGCTATTGTACAATATTGTTCCATGGTATCAGGAGACCTTCATTTGTGTTGAGTTCAAAGATCAAATAGCTGATAGGGTAAAAGGAGAGAGCTAAAATTCAAAGGGAATAGCTAGCTAAAGCAGTACAGCACTTGGAATTCCTCGGTCCTTGATGAAGCAAAGCAACATAAATGGGATGGCCCTTTAGTACTTCTTTCCCCTCACACACACCACCCTCCCACCACCCCTTTTCCTGAGCATTTAAATCAGTCACATTGAAGCAAACAGTAAAATAGTGGTAACACCTAAAGCAACTTGGTACTGAGATGATATGCCTCTTGGGCCCCTATTTTTTTTAAGGTTTTAAGTAAAACAGAACTTAATGGTTTAATTGAGATACAAAATTTGTGGAGAACTTAAGACAAATCTATGTCAATGAAACAACTGTTTCTCTGGAGGGAGGGAAATCTGTGGGGGATAGCAGAATCTCAACTAAATTTTTACCATCGCCATCCATTTTTCCTCCTTCCCCTTCCCTCAAATATGTCATCCTCATAGAAGCACTAGTGTAGGGCATGATTCAAAGAAACAGCAGGGTATGACTTAATGCCAGCCTGTTGCGGCCCAAAAAGCAGAATATTCAAAACCATATATCGTACTTCTTTTTATGCGCTTATGTTAAGTGTTGCTTTACTTGCAGAATTAAAATAAACCTTGCTCGAGTCGTATCCCTGTTTTTGTAACACTGAAGATATTAGTGCTGTTACTAAAGGGTTTATAAATTGCTCAGGGTCATGTAATGGTGATATTTGTAAATGTACATAATACACCAATTGGCTGATACATTCATGTGCTTTGTCACAAACACCTCAAATGAAGTGAGCTCTATTGCTTCATCAGACCTAAATACTGTTTATTTAGAATTTGAAAATTGTTGGAGTGACACATATTCACTCTTTATTGTTTCCTTATTTAATTTATTGTGGTCTGACTTTTTTTTTTAAAGCACCTGAAGTTTAAGGAGACAAATCTTGTGACGCTGCAGCAATTCAATGCATTAGCCCAGATGCATCGCATTGAACAGTTGACAGTTGATCCTCAGGGAAATCCAGTTGTCAGCTTTACTTTGTGGAAGTACTATGTTCTGTTTAGACTGAACCATTTTAATCTACAGAAGATAAATGGAGTAAAGGTAGGACAGTGCTGCTTCCTTCTTAGTGTTGGTCTTACAAGATAAGTTAGCATTGTTTTTTAAAAGAACAGATGAATTGCTAAAAAATAAGGATAACCCTATCAGTGTCCTTTCAGTATTGGGGGAAAAATTTTAAGCAGACCTCACCATACAATTTATTGTGCTGTATATTTAAGTCCAAAAGCACTGTGTTACAGTTAACAGCTGATGGGATTCTTGGTTGCTATAAAAAATGTGCTGTCTCTCATGATTGCAGTTGCAAATGACAGTCCAACTCTATACCTGAGTGGTTGGGATTTACCTGAAGGGAAGACTTTTTATTATAATTTCTTTATGTGTTTCTAATAAATAAATAAAAGTTATTGAACAACTACACAATTTTAGTTGATTTTAGGAAGAATGTTATTGTGTTCAAAATTATCACAGTGCTGTCATTGAATACTTGTGCAAAAATGCACACTTGACAGGCTATTTGACAGACAGTTACAGTATATGATTATATTTATATTTATGAAATTATATTTTCTTAAGGATGTCACAAGAAAGATCTCAAAGTCAGCAAATTCAGTCTTTCAAGGAAGACTTTGACTTTAATAGTGCTTGGGGATGAATTTATTAAACGGATTTACATGCAGTATGGCATGCTTTTTATGTAGGGCATGTATCAAATCTTAAAGATGTATGACTAAAGAACATTTCTGCCCTCAACAAACTTTGTCAGCCAGACCACACTATATGAAGATGTGCACAGAGCAATTTTTTCCCAGTTTCATTAATCATTTGAAAAGTGTCACAGCCAAGAAGAAGAAAGAGATGAGCTCCGATTGCTGTTTTTCATTAGTCTTCAGCAGAGGTCATGGTATCCAGCTTTGCAGATATATATTACCTTTTCTTTTAAAAATGGGAATAGAAAATCCTGCTTCGGTGTAAAGAACACAAACCTCTGAAGTGTGCTCTCAGACCTTAGATGAGCCCTAAATAACAGTTTCAGATGATGGAGATGGAAATGTGCATATTCTGCTGTTCTGGTTATGATTTGTATGCAATGTTTGTGGTCTGTTGTGTTGCCAGCTCTGAAGCAGATATAATTGGGGAGTAAAAGCAATATATACTAACTGAATTAACTAAATAAATTGTGTAGCTCTAGCACCTTTAAACTGTAAAAGAAAAAAAAAAGTATAAGAAGCTTTTATTTTCTCCCAAACCCTCCCCATCCATTCCAGTTATGTTCCAGGCCAGAAGCTGTGTTAGTCTTCCCCTAACGATGAGTTTGTTCCTGTGTCAAACCTGTTACATTTACTAACTGTGAAGAAGCAAATTCTCTTCACTGAGATACACTGTTCGAAGTTTTTCCCAGTGATAGCAATCTCGGGTTAATTAAGAGTTGTTGAGGTTTGAGGTTACTGAACTTCACAAAATGCTTTGCACTGAGTGGCATGGCATGCAATATGACAGATGCATCGCATCTACTGAGTTAGTGCCTGTTCTCTGTACTTGGCAAGAAGCAAGCATAATAGACTTACATTTATGTGATATTGCCGTTATAATCTTTTTGTGATTAATGGAGCAAACAATGTACTGGAGTAAGAGAGCATGGGTTTCTGTGAACTAGAGACTGTATTCAGCATTGCTGTCTCTGTTGACCTGGTCCTTATGCTTCTCTTAACATAAATAAATAAATTAAAATCACTTATTTCTCCAGCAGACATTTCTGCTTGCAGTGGTCTTTGTTGGCCTGGCTGCCTTCTGTGCTCTTTGTTTTAGGCCTTGCTTCTGTAAACAGACTGTTTAGCGAGGTCATGGGCTCTTAGGCTACTAAGTAAGACTTAGTTAATTTTCAGTGAAAATGAGCAAATCTAAACTCTATGAAAATGGAATTGACTTTACGTTTCTAATTTCCAGACTTGTGTTTTCTCTGCTGAATTTCTCCCTGCATTGTGCTGCCACAGTATACTTTAGGCAAGCGTGGGTTATATAGTTTATAAAAATGAAACAAGAATATAGTAAGATTGCATTAATTTGCCTCAGAATTCCATTTTACCCACACATTTGAATAATACGGAAGACAAAATTGTCTGAAAGTACTTAGTAAATACTGTGAGTATTGAAGTTTATTTAATAATGGGTTGCTTTCCAAAATACGTTATAAGATGAACGGAAATTAAATTTGATCCAGAAGTTAAGAAGTCAGTGAGTGAGTTTCATTGTCCTGTGTTATCCAGGTCAGATCTAGATGATCATAAAGATTTCTTCTGCACTCAGTGGAAAGCCAGGAGTCTAGAAATTGTGCCAACAAATTTTGGCAGTTGAAGTCAGTTCATAGTCTGGCCATCGGAGCAGGAGAAACACAAGCCATGGTCTCCAGGAGTTATGAGCCAAGACAAATAAAAAACAATAACAACCACCACCAAAAAATACCCCCCTTCCACCTTCTTCATAAAAAAATGAAATGTGTCAAATAAATCCTGAAAATTTCTCAACCACTGAAAATCAGGTTAGAGAGACATCTGTAACTTAATGTTGACACACGGTATGGGTGGTATTTAGAGAAGCATTATGGAGAAACACTTTCAGGGGAGGGCTTGAGAAATGCAGAGAAAATACTCTTTTTTGTTGTTTGTTTTTTTTCTCTCTAACGTCTCTTTCTATAAATCTTCTCTATTTTGCTGGCAAAATAAGAGAGAAAGTAACTTATCTTTTCACATGTGGTTGCCCAGAATCTTTTAATTTCTCCAGCATAACTTGATCCGAATTTTTCCAAGCAGACCTTCTGTAAGTGCATGCAATATGGAGAGAATGATTATGTCTGGCCCTCAGATACTCAGTGTAAGAAATCATTGTAAAATTCCTCATTTCATGAAGACTGTCATGAAGCACAGGGTAGCAGTATGTGTATACACTAAAGTTTCCAGAATTACAGGAAATAAACCAAGCACAACTACCTCATTTGGCTTCTTTTAAAGTCCATTTAAAGTGCCAGTAAAAGCAAATTTACATTTTGAAGATATGCCTGGAACAACTCTGTAGGCCGTGTTCTGTATAACAATTTTCAGTTAATTCTCAATGTACATATCTAAGGAAACAAGAATGTGCCAGTTTTGAAGCTTACCCTTTTTTTTTTTTCTTCCTTTTCTACCCCTCCCCTCACAGGTTACTGAAAATGATATTGTGATGGGAGAAAGGCTCTTTGGCATTCTGGCTTATGTAGCATCTTCTGAGCTGCCCCATTACCGCATGCTTTCATTATTTGGAGAATCCAGGTAGAATACAATGAACGGAACTGGAATTTATCCAGAATGTATTCTGTAATTCTTTTGCACACTGTTATGTTAAATTCTTCCTAGGTAAAAAGATCAAAATTTCACAACTAGCATCTTACAGAAGGTAGGTTCTGTGCTTATTGCAGAAATACTAGCATCTCCTGATTCATGGAGACAGAGGTTTTCACAGAAGTTGTATGAGTAAGATTAAAAGGCACATACACACGAAAGTGCTGCCTGTTTAATTCTCCAGTTGTACTGGTATTGGTGAAGATTTATGGACTTTCACGATGAAGACTGACTTTTTTGTTTTACCCATTTTTCTGTGTAGTTTATAGTGGGCGACTGTGACAGCTAACAGATTTAAGAGTTGGTGCTGCAAGAAAAAGGTGCTGAAAAAAACTTTCTGGTCTTCTATAGATACATACTTCATAAAAGCTTAAGCTGCAAGACTTCCTATTTAAAGGATGCTAGGAGATATATATCAAAAAGTCAATTGTATAGAAGCAAATTAATGGAGGAATATCTGGAGTCATCTGTATTTTGAGTAACTTGAGGATGCAGTAAACCTGAAAGCTCATAAACGACATGTTCAAAGGGAGAAAAGAAAAAACCTCACAATGACTAGAAACATCTGCACCTAAAAAAAAAAAGTTTCCAATAATTGAAACTGTAAATCTCTTGATTATCTTTTCACAGGAGGAAGCAATTCCATGATCTGCTGGAGGGAAAGGGAAAGAAGCCTGGGATTGGAAGTGAGGAAAGCAGTGACAACAGAAGGAATGGCGGCGAAAGCACAACTCGAGCAATGTTGACTTACGCAACAAAGGACTTTCATATGGAAAAGCTTGAGGTAAGTATATCATTACAAAATACTTTCATCCTCTATTATATGCCCTTAGGCTACTACTCATGGAATGTGTCTGTGTATCAAGTTTCAGTTGTGCTATTGAGAATGGCAGTTTTAAAATATCACTGCTTACTATATTTACATGTATGATCAAAAATTTCATCTAATTGATTTTTCTGAGAATACTGGATAATGGTCAGTTTCTTTGTCTAGTAAAGTTGTTCCTGAACAGTTCCACAGTCTCAGAAACACATTTTCACTTACAAGCCTGACATTCACAACAAAATATACCTGCATTAGTAAAATATTAGGAGTGAGCACAGTATTTTTACAAAGAAAAATTATTTTTGTACATGTTAGGGTTTTCTAATAGAATTAGAAAGTCAGAAAGTATATCCTGAGGTGAATTGGTGAAGAACACCTTCAGACAAGATTTGAGAGAGTGCAGGCTGCAGTAAGATGATCTGTTTCCTAGCTTTTAAATCAAATATATAGGAAATGTGTTAGGCTTAGTTAATAATAAAATTGCAGGCTAGTTTGTTTCAGACAAGTGCATCAGTCACTGTTGTTTTAGTTTGCATTTCTGATCTGCTAACTCATTTGCTTGGGCAGAGGGAAATTGTTCCCAGGGAGAACATGCTGCTTTCAGCCACAGCCTCCTTTCCGAGCAATCGTCATGACTTCTAGCTGTATGCACCCCGATACCCATATTTGTCCTGTTACTTGCTTTTTGATTATGTAGAAATATGTAAATCCTCTAGCGCAAGTAATTAAATCAAGTTTGCTAAGCACTGAATTCAATTATTGCATTGTGGTTTGGTTATCTCAGATTCATAGCATAAAAAGGAGGCAGTGACTGCATGTGTGGAGAGATTAAATTAAGAAAACACTTTTGTTTCAAATGCTGTGATAGGAGCTCTTAAAACTTTGAACGGCACAGAGTGAGTAAGACAGTGAGGCATTCCTCATGTCTCTTACCGTGGAGCAAGCACTCTAATAAAATAACTGTATTTTTACAGTCCATTAAATGTATGTATTGTTTTCTCTTCCCAGTGCAACAATTCACACCTTGTCCTTTGTTATAGCATTGTGTATGTGGCAGCAGGTATTACAGGATGTCACAAGAGGAAGAGAGGCAAAAAAGACTGATTGCAGTTCCCCAGCAGCAGTAAACTAACATAATACATGTGATTGAAGAAGTTTATTGCTAAAGATGACTCTTGAGTCATTGATTAATAGTTTGGGGTTTTAGATGAAACAGCTGGAAAGTATTTTCTCTGCTTTACCACTCATTTAAGAAAACTTATATTTTGATGGCCTGGAGCATGACCTAACATTTTTAACAGTGTCATAAATCAAATGAGTTAGATATTTAGCAACAAGATAACTTATTGTTCAGTTTAATATGGCATGTTATAGGAACTCTGCAGTAACAAGAATTAATACAGTTAGAGTGACTAAAATGAGAAGCTAGTAGTTGCACAATTTGCAATTTATTTTTTTAAATTATGTTTTAAAGGTTCAGTTTACTTCAGTGTCTAATGTGGTACATGTTAGGAGGCATGCACTTGCCAGAGTCCATCAGGGAACCTGTGGAAAGGATGCATACTGGCATATTTTTCTGTGACAACATGCTTTATTCTTGTCAGGGCAGGTAGATAAACATATACTTTCCAACTGTTGTACTATAATCATGAAAATCTGGGAAGGGAAGGGAGAGAAGGAGGGAAAGTAGTCTGGTGCTTAATAATTTCTATGAAATTTCACTGCTATGCCAGAAGGCAACAAAAATCATAATGCTGTTAAAATATATTTACATGACTGTTTAAAAGTGGATTTCAGATAAATTAATGAACCTAATCTGAGTGTTATCAATGCAGTAAGATTCTGTGGCCACACTCATAAATCTTGACTTAGACCCTGGGCCATGCAAATTAAAACCAAGAGGCAAAGAGCATGCAAGACCTCTTTGCCTGTTAATCGCTATGTTCCTTAATTCATTACATTTTTGTGGTTGTTTTTTTGGGTTGCTCTTGTTTAACCTTTTCTTCCTCTGTCTGACACAATGTGTAATGGTTCTCCCATGCAGGAAATCAAGGAAAGAAAAACATTTTGCCAGACATACGTTGAGAACTTAGTGCAAGAAGCAGCTGACATCAATATGAAGAATGAGTCGTTGCAGAAGCTCTGGCCTCAAATGTTCATTGAGCTTGTCAGAGATGCAGTGATAGAAATACGCAATAAAAATTCCTACATGAAGCTCTGCTTACAGCGGATCACTGATCAAAAACAGTAGAGTCAAGGCTTGTTGTCTTGCTAGCTTTTGGTTTCAGTGTTCTGTGATGTTTTACGAACCTAAAACAATAGCATATAAAATTGCCATCACTATGGCATAATTCACTCCCCCTCCTTCCCCCTGCCAAAGGAATGCCTTTAAATCTTAATTAACTCTTGGTAGTTTTGGAGTAAAAGCTACTCACATTTTGCTTTAACGATGCTTCCTTGGCTGAAGTGATGAGATAGCATAGAAGTAACTTGGTGATTGTCGTGTTTTGCTAAGTTCTTGGTTGTTTTTTTTTTTCTGCTATCCTTGCTTCTGTAGTGCCACAGCATTGATTTTTAAAGAACAAATTTACACTCTGCTTGCCTTAATTTTTATTGAACACTTTTCAATTGTCATCTTTTTGACTTTGCTGCTGTTAAAAAAATCAAGAATAGTAGCCATTTTTTTTTATGAGCAAAAGCTAATAAATTATTTTTACACCCTGAACTTGATGAAGACTCATTATTATTGTTGTTTATTTTGTGAGATCGTAGAAGATGTTTTCACATCAATGTCATCATGGTGCTTAGTATATCAGCACATAGTGAGCTTCATTCTCAACTGAACAAATTGCCTAAATCTGATTTCAAGGGTTTTTCATTAAATTTGTATTAGTTTGAGTGAATTATTATAGGTAAAATATGAATTTGATGTATACTCACTTAAGCTTTATTTTTGTTCTGTTAAAATCTGTTAATAACAGAATTAATTTTGTTTCCTTGTTACTAAATGATTAATTTTTGAGGTCTGCCAAGGGCAAATAAGCTAAATGACATGCATTATGTTTGGTAAGGAAACTGATGACTACTATTCACTTGTAATTCACTTTAATGACTGTGTGAACAATTGGTATTTGTTATCAATAAAAATAAATTCTTCACTTCTGCCCTTCACAGATACTATAAAGAAGTAATGTGTGCAAAAAAGGACTTGTTAATGCTGCATGAAGAGATGAGACAAAACTTGCCTCCAAAATCAACTGTGAATAGGTAGAGAAACACGTTCCATAGTACAGTAGCTTTCACTGTAAACGCCTTGCCAGCTTCTGCCCAGAAACTGAATTTAGGAACTGTTAGTAAGTCCAGTTGATTCTTGGGGATAGTGTTCATACGTGGGTAGAAGGTTGTGCCGTTTAAACTTAATTTTGTAATTCCGTTGTATCTTAACTGAAACAATCCAGAACTTTTGTGCATTCTTTTACTCAGTTCAAATTGAGCTTATTTTACTTAACTCATTTATAAAAAAGAAATGTTCGTAACTAAAGAAAATTTATTGCAAGGGTTTCTATGGCTCAAAACTAAGTTTATTTTTAAACTTTACCTGGACAGGAGTCTTTGGCAAAGCAGAGATGTAAATAGAGTTTTGTAAGTTTCTGTGCCCTGAAAATAGCCTTGAGAGAGTAGCAGGAGTCAGGTGGTCATATGTATTTTGGAATATACTCTCTACTTGCACTGAGGTCAAGCTGCTGCATCTGAGTTGGCAGAGAGAATCCATTTTCAGAGCGTGGTACAGGTTCACAATGGCATGCATACTGTTAAATGTAATTTTCAAGTTGGTTTGTTATATGTGACCTTCTAAAGCATACTTGCTGGTAGTAGCTTTTCAGTTTTTCCAGAATTTACTGGAGGTTAAGTCACTTAAATTCTAAGGAAATATTTAAAGTCCTGAAGAAACTGCTCCAGCAGTTGATAGAATTTTAATAGAAACAATCACCCCTTCAGGCTTTTTGAGCTGGATTCATGGAATTTATCATAAGAATAGTGTATTTGATAGGGCTCTCTTTCTTTCCATTGGAAAATTGCACTCTCAAGTTTTATGGTGCACTTTAATAAGGGAACAAATTAAGACCCTGCAAAATGTGAGAAAATGAGAGTTTGTGTTACAGAAATACAGTCAGTATAGAAATGATCATGCAAAAGTTTTTTGGATCCATCAGTTTCTTTACATCATTTCTGTGCAAAGGGGATGGGTGGAGGGATTCCAGCTTCTGCATGGGGACAAAAACCTCAGCAGCTGTGTGGAAGTGCAGAACTCTCCTGATGATGTTGCTGGAGCAGATGGGCCCCTTTTGAATCAGGGTCAGCAGCAATAAAAAACTGGAAAGAAACGTTTTAAGAAGGGTGGATTGGTCTAGAGGAACAGGAAGTTCTCTATGGGAAAGTCCAGAGAAAAGCCAGGCTTTCTGATACTGAGGCTTTAGAAGCATAATCCTGATTGGAGGCTTTAAGGTAGGGTCTTGTAAAAGCTAAGTGAAATGAATCAGAGGGTACTGACTGTGAGTTGTAGAAACATCTCCTCAAAATGCTCTGTATTCCCAGTGGTCTGTGAATGCTGCCAGTTTGGACTTTTTTCACTACTAGCAGCTGTTTCATAGCAGGATTGCTAAATGGCTAAAGCGAGGGTAGCTAGGCAGCTATTGTAAATGAAGAAAAGATTAATGCTGGCCTGCATATGTATGTTTGTGGGTTTTTTTTTTTCCACATAGAACCAGTAGGAACAAAAAACTTGATTTTTACTAATCCTTTTCAGGAAATGTGAATGGTGGACTAAAGTGATGCTAGACCTAAAAGTACATAGAATTTTAAGCAGTCAGGTGATCTTAAAATTGTTAGCATGCTATATGTTGGTTTTGTGTTTATCAGAATTATTTGTCAGTTGCTACAAACTTGTACAATAATTTACTGTAGTGGCATATTAAGGAGTTTCTAAGTACCTAAAAATTTGAAAGGGGTATAAGCAACAAATTCTTGTTGTTGACCTTTTCTGAATGTGCTGAAATTTAAACACTACATACATAAACTTTCTGTGGCTACAGGTATAATTTGAAGAGTTAAAATAGCCATCAATTTTAAAGCTGGGGACCTTTTAATAAAACCTTCCAGGCTGAAAGCTGTTATTTTTTCTGTTTAAAAGCCCTTTAAATGCTGCATAAACTACAGTTTTGATATTGTTAATATTTCATCATATGCCATCCAAAATGAATTGTTGTGATCCCCTCATGTAGCTTGACTTTCTGCACAGGACAAGAGCTATTATGATGAAAATTCCGTATGTTAACTGGAAATCATCTTAAGGGTTGAAAAGACACTGGTTTAACATCTAAGTCTTTTTAAGACTTTTTTCCCAATGATTTTTTGAGTAGTTATACAGTTTCCTTATTTTCTGAGACAAGCTTCCTCTATGTCCAGGCAAGGGCAGATAATGATGTGTCTCTTTTTTTTCCCAGTTTCAGTTTAGCCATATCATGCATGAAGGCCCCATTGTGTCATAGAGTCACAGTTTATTATGCAACTGCAATGTGATCTTCAGGAGGGAGCCTGAGGAAGAGCTGTATTTCATACACTCCTTTTAATATAGGATCTGAAAAAGTAATAGAGCTGCAGATACGCTGCCACAGTGGAACAAAGGGAGAAGGGATTCACCTGATGCAAACCAAAAGCTGATCCTGTCAGTTGTGAGGGAAAAAGTACTGGGAAAAAAGTACTGGGAAGAGGCTTTAACTGAGCATTGTAAAGTAAGTCGAACTGCTCTACTGCCTGGGACCAAGTGTTAGATCTGAATCCAGAAACGGCTGAAAACTTTGTTTTCTGGTCTTGTAGATCAGTATTATAAAAGTGAAATATCTTGTTTCTCTGCTACAAATGGTCATGCTTTTGTCATGTAAACTATTAAAAATGAAAAAGAAAAAGGTTAACTTATGAAAACACTGGCCATCTGCAGATTCAGTTAAGCTATTGTGCAAACAGTAGTGAGTTCACAATCAATGTATAATCTATGAATTCTGCAAATTCAGGAAAAATTACTTATTTTTAAAGCAGAGCTGTAGCCTGCAATAGTGACAAACCCTGATGCTTTCGGTTGCTACTTTTTAAAACAGTGACACATCAGGATGAACTGCTTTTTGTTAGCTAGTTTATTTAAAGAAGCTGAAACAAATACTTGCTGTTTCATATTATTAAGCAGCGTTCGCAAAGATGTGATTTGGGCTGGGAGGTCAGTATGCATATTCAAAGTCACAACTGCTGTTTGTTTTGATTGGGAAAACAGACTACTTGAATATGTTTCTCTTCCCACATCACACAAACTTTGCTACAGGTTAAAGTCCAGTTTCAGTGAAATTATTTTTCTCTTCTGTTCAACTTGGAGACGTTAGTCTTTTGGGGATTAGAAGACTTGGTGTTTTCTTACACATGTGTAGAACAGGAGAGGGAAAAGAGGAGGCTAGCTGTCAGTTTGCTCTATGGTGTGATAAAGCTGCTTCTACTCAAAAGTGAATATAATATTATACTACACTTTTAGAAATTATTAGAAATTATATTGTGAGACAATATGTGCTGTGATTTGTGCTTTATATGGATATGTAGCACATTTGCAGCCTATTTACATTAGACTTCAATGATCTGTTTTCTAATGAAGTAAAGAAATACTTCTGAAGAGCGATGAAAGAATGCAAAAGCACAGAGTGCAACTTTCAGTTTCTGACTTGGCACTGACAGTCGAATATATTAAGCTTCATACAACTGCCGTATCCTGGGTAAAGTACACATGTTAAAGCTCTCGGACTCATTTGACTATGAAGCTTTTGTGTAAGTCTACAAGCAACACCCTCTAGGGAAATGTTACTTAAATTCCAAAGAGATGTTAATAACTGTAATAAAATGTAAACATTCAGGGTTTTGTAATCCAGAAATGTGAACTGGCTTGTCAGTTTAGAGGAGAGATACCCAGGTATTCTTTCCTGTTGTGAATGAATGTGGGAGTCTATAGCTGATGGTATTTTATGATGTGAATTGCCAACACTTCTAGATGTAACTGTAGACATTGAGCTGGCTCTATTGCATATTACCGTTATTTCCTTAGGGAACACACAGGTAGTAGCTAACTGCTTCACTCGGGTCATTACAATAGTATACGCATGTGAATAGTAGAGTGTGTTGCAAAATAGGCTAAATGTGCTTGGTGACAAGCTAGAAATGCACGTGTTATATTTGCTATATTGATATAAGCTTATCTCAGTTCAGTTAGATACGGCCATTTCTCCGGTGGTGAGCTGACTGGTTGCAAGGCAGCTGCTGTCTCATATACAGTGATTATTATGTGCTGGGCAACTACAAAGAAAGTAGGTCATTTGCAGATAGTACGGGTATTCAAGTTGTTGAACAGTTTCTTTGTATGTTCTGTAGAGTACCATTCACAGTATTTTCAGTTTTATTTCAAAGAAAA